AGGATGTGGGTCTTCTATGAGTCTGACCTACTTTCCTGCTTCTTGTAGGAAATTCATATACTGTGTTGGACCCAAATGAGCAGGTGGGCCACAGTGCAAATCCGTGCCTTCTGGGTTGCTAAAATACGAGCTCCTAAACAAATGGAAATCTGGCAATGCGTGAGCTTCTTTAGCTGCTTCAGATGAGCCATGAAAAATGAAATTTGTCATGTCCTTGCATGCACATGTGCATACAGTAATGTGTTAAGGTGGTTGTTTTTCTGTGCATGACATCAAGAGTTCTTTTAAAGAAAGTTCGCATCAAGTCAGCAAATTGGCTGCACTCTTGGATAAATTAAATTTCAGTTAATTACCTGCTTAACCAACTGCTTATTTATTAAGGTGCTTAAAATCAGTTAGTTTATTGTAAGCCCAAGCAAATTGTCGTTATACTGTATACATTTACATAAAATAATAAAGGATGCCGAAAATTCACTTGTGAAGCTTCTGTGCGCTCTTTAGTGCCCTAACCAAGCCAGTATTGCAGGAATGTTCTGCCCTTTGATAGGGAACACTCCCTGGAATTGCTTCACCACTTGAAACCTGAGCTCAGGCAGGAAATGTACAACTTACTCCCTCCACAGACCTGAGAGGTAAGTGGAGTTACTTTGCACGAGTTTTGTCCTTGTCCAGTTGCTGTAGCAGCATGTTCTTTAGATTGTTAATTCACATAAGTATTACATGCTTAGCAGGAGATGCTGAAAAATTATAAGCAGAAAACCTTCATCATATGCGAAATTAAGTCCAGTTTAAATAATCCACTTGCATGTATTAAAATATTTTAGCATTAACTGGCCGTGGCACTGCCTATGACATGGATATGCACACACAGTAGTACCTTGCTTAAGTTAACCTGCAATTTAAGCCAGATATTCTCAAATTGGTTTTTTGGTTAAGTGTCAGCTTTTGTTTTTACTCCTATTTCTTTTGGGGAGGCAGATTTTACTTTGGAGCTTAAAGCAGTCCTCTGTTCCATACTTATGTGAGCTATAATATTTTTATTGCAGAAGAATGCAATGAGCGTAGCTGAATTTCTGTCAGATTTTCTCATTTTATATATCAATATTTGTTAGGAAATCAGCTGCAATTTGTAACCTTATAAGCAAGAGCTAGCCATCTCACTACTAATAAGTTTTCAAAATATATAGCAAGAATGACAATGTGGTAGGCATAATACTGTCTGTGTTCTTGATGTATGTATTTCTGAAAGCAAGAAGTCGCTAAGATGGTATGGGTACAGTTTGGGGTCAGTTATGATGTAAAACAAGTGTGTCAGTAAAACCAGTAATTGCAGGGTCTATCTGTGCTTAACAACTGCGTCCTTTTTTTTTGTTAAGTGTACATGTGCTGATAGAAGTTTAAATACAGGTTGTGTGCACATGATTGGCCACAAAGCAGTTCCGTGTAATAACCCTGGCAGGAGGTCTTTAGAAGGAGTGTTTTTGAAAGTGCATGTGATGGTGAGGGTGTTTTAACATATTCCCTACATTCTCCCATAGCCTCTTTGCTGATATATAGGAAAAGAGTAACTTAGAATGTATCTATTTTGTAGATACATTTCAGGATTTGAGTCATTATACTTGTAAAACTGTGTTCTGTAGTTGCAAATTCTTTGCTGATGTATAGGAAAAGAGTAACTTAGAATGTGGCTTGCAGAAGACAGTCTTTTGTCACCTTCCTCCCTATTACTTTCATGGCTGTTTTATTTCCATTTTGTAGATACATTTCAGGATTTGAGTCATTATACTTGTAAAACTGTGTTCTGTAGTTGCAAAAACCTCTTAGATTCATGGAAGAAACTTGTCTGCTATGAGATGGTGGTTCCAACCACTGTGTATTTTATATGGGACATAGAATATAATGTTTCATTACATAATCTGAAAGTACAAAACATAGTTTCTTAAGTCCATGAAGAAAACATTCATGAATGACTGATGTCCAGCATGGTGGGGCTGTGAGCTTCATACCAGGAAGATGCTAAACCCCGGACTGTGGAACGGCATGAGACGTGTGTGTGTCCTATTTGTTTGTTCCTTGAAGACAGTGGAGAAGGCATTGCCCTTCCAGTCTGCAAGCTACATGAACTGTTCTGGCCCAATATAGCTGCTCCTGTTTCCATAGCAAACTCAGAATACAGTGCTTCTTTCTTGAATGTGATAATTTCATTTATGTACATTGAGAAAAATCTATTCGTTGTAACTATGCAATATTTTTTTGTTTGGCTAGAGCAAAGATGATCTGTGTTACATCAAGAACCTTGATAGATCTGTAGGTTGGGTCTGTTGAAGGGATGGAGTGAATGGTTTCATGGTGATAAAGTATTTTGAGAGTCACTAAGGGATGATTTTCTCATTGCTCAGTCTTACGGATTTGTTGCTGTGTCTGAAACCCAGTTTTCTGTCTAGTTTGAGGCAGTGATGTGGAAGGAAAAAGTATTGCTGGTCTTGTCTTGATCAGCAAATATGACAAAAATAGAGGAAAGAACAGGAGAAAAGGTGAGACTTACCTTTTTCTTCTCTTAAAACATGATGGTTTTAAGATGGTTTTCTAGTTTTTAACGAGCCCTTTTTTCCCTCCTCTGCTGCATAATTGCCTTGTTGAGTTAGACTCTCCTAGCTGGCTACCAAATGCATTTATGAGGACTGCAATACTTATTTGAAAGCTGTACAGTCCTTTGTGCACTGGTGTTTATATTTGTGAAAAAGCACTCTGAAGATTACATTCACTGTTTCTTGGTTCATTTGTTACTTTTTCAAATCCTTGTATATTACATCTGTCAAGGGGTTGTTTCTGTGGTCTGGAGAAACTGATGTTAATGAAATGGTGTGCTTTCCTGAAATTTTCTTAGTTTCAGCTCAGCAGCAAATACCATCCTAAAATTTTGGCTGTAGCTGTCAGTTGTGTAGCTGCACTGATAATGCCAACCTTTATGCCATTATGACTCGTAAGGCTTGTAGATTGTGTCTATGTTGCAAAACACTGTGAAATGTTGTGTGGTCAGCTTGGATCACTGGTATGGAGGTTCAATTCCTCTTTGGTGTTTAAAGGTTTTCTCCTGCTTTTTATTATTGAGATCTGTAGAAGGTACAGCAGAAGTAGCCTCTCCATGAGGAGTTGTCAGATAGACTTTGTTTTTAGGGTTTACTTGAGAGTTTTAATGTTTGTGACACAATTTTTCATAAATTTGTCATTAAGACATAGTCATAGGTTTAGCAGCTGGTGGCTTTATCTGATGTCTACATCATTCAGTTTGTCATGTTGGTTTAGCAAAACAAAAATAAACTTGCTGTAGTTCTATATGAATACAGCATTTCAGTTCTGAAGCCAGTGACTGAGTAGCCAAAATAAAAAAGCTGTCTGGTGAGGAAGCAAGCACTTGTTAATCTGAAAATGCTGAGTAAGTCAAAACAAGCATTTTGCAAGGATGGATCATCATCAAGCAGATTTTTTTATGTCTCAGGTGTGTGGTCATACTTAAAGAGCAGAAGATGTGATCTAGAAAAGCAAAATACCTCAGGGATTTTTAGGGCAGTTGCTCAGGAGGTTGTCTGCAGGCAGTGGAAAGATGACTGAACCACAAAGTCCCAGCTTGGTTCTTGTTTCTTCCACTGTCCCATGAGAGCCTATGTATCTAAGTTACCAACTATTTAGGAGGGATTGATCTTTCATTTCTTACCCCTCCCTCTTCATTTATGTATATTGGAGCATCGATACCTCTTATGATCCATGCAAGCTCTCTAATCACTGCTGGAATGTTTGGAATGTTTGCTGTCCTGGTTTTTTTTTTTTTTTTTTTTTTTTTTTTTTTTTTTTTTTGTCATCATACGCTCCTGTCCCCCTCCTGCAATGTGAAGTTAATATGTAGATGTGTTTGAAGGCTTTATAATCTTATGCAAGATCAGGAAAATCAATCACTTTATATTCGGTTTTGAATATACCCGTGTTCTTTGCTACTCTTAGAGTATTTTAATTTTATGCCTCAATATATTCTCTACTTAAGTTATGAAACTTAATGTTTGCTTACGCCCTTGTCAAAGGATGTAGAAACAGTTTGCTGAGTGTGTAATTAAGTGAATCACAGGCCCTGATCCTGTGAGGCACTTGAGAAAGTGGCTGGTATCATTGAATAGAGCTGATAGCTTGAGGTGGGCACATAAGGACTTTGCTGGGCTGGGGCTGGATGATAATCACCAGAATCTTAGATTTGAAAGGTGAAAGTCAATTCTGGCGTCTTATTTATCGACTCTCAGCACAATACGAATGCTTGTGATGATCATGGTTGCTTGCTGAGAGGATGAGAATTGTTTGTGCTCCCAAACTAAATGTGTAGATCCAATCAAATTGACATAGACAGAAGATTCAGTAGTCTGACAAACATTCAACTATTCATGTTGTAATTTAAAAAAACGGGGGGAAAGAAACAATGCTAATGTTACCACTGTACATTCTCATGTTTTGTGATTTTACAGTGAATGCACAGGCTTTGCAGCATAATGCATCAAAGTCTTGTTTGTTTGCTGTTTTCTTCTCCGTAAAGCTTTTTATGTAAGCATTTTTTGCTGTTTTGCACTGAAATTAGTTACTTAATTGCATCTGATATCGGGAAGCTAGTAGCTATGATGCTTTACAATGCTTTTTGAGTTGAAAATGTTGTGAATCTTTAAAAACCAACAAAAAACCCAACAAGAAAACAGCAAACCCACAAAACAACCTTAAAATAGGGAGGGTGTGGACAATGGTCAGAAAGTAAAGGACTGAGTATTTTGGTGTAAGGTTGTGTTGTAACATGTAAGACATTGCTTTCTTGCTGGCTACTGTGAATTTAGTATTCACTTTTCTTTTGTCTGTAATGGAGTTTTTAAATAATGGACTTGCTGTGTTTTCACCTTTCTTCGAAGCGAGACATTCTTGCATTTGCATTTTTTGGCTCTTGTTACATTTTCTGTTGGTTTTGCCTGCAGACCCTGTGTGGACAGTAATGACCGCACGTTTCCGATTGCCTGCTGGCAGAACCTACAATGTCCGAGCATCTGAGCTGGCACGAGACAGGCAGCATACGGAGGTGGTCTGCAACATTCTTCTCCTGGATAACACTGTACAAGCTTTCAGAGTTAATGTAAGTAATGGTCGCATTGCAAATCAATATCTGGCTTATTGCAGATCAATAGCCTGAGCTTGCTTTCCTTTTCTGTGTTTGTGTGGCTGGAGTTTGTCTTTCAGACATTGTTAAGTAGAGAATAAAAGGGGAAGTTGTGTTCAGGCAGGCATGCTTGTACACGTGCACACTTTTACTGGGAACTTAGTCATTCTGGCATTGTCTGTCATACTAACACGTCTTCATTTCAAAATCCAGTGTACGAAGCATAATTTATTTCTAGTAATTCTCTTCATGGATTAAAGTTGTCCAGTGGAAATGGAGGACAGTTTTGCCATTGAGTTGAATGAAGCTTTTGTTCTGCTGTGTTCTGGTTTTTGTATTTTGAGCACGAGTAAGGTGGAGTGGGAACTCTTCCTATAGCTGTGTGGCTGACTGTGTTCAATGACCTGTATGGTTATATTTGGTCACAGCTGCCATCTTAGAGTATCTCCCTGCTCTTTGCTCTCCTCAGATAATATTCTTGTTCTGAGATTTCCCTCACTTAAGTTCACCACCTTCTACTACACTAATGAGAATGACAGGAAGGAAAATGGAAAGTTTGTTGTTGAATACTGAGAATTGTCAATGGAAAAAATCAACAAGTTTTACACATGAACCTGGAATTTAAAATAGGTTATTCATCCCATTTTCTAATAAAAATTTTCGTGATGTTGTGTATATGTTATACAAGTGCAACCCTTTCTTTCAGCTTCCCGAGGGGAAAAAAAAAACCCATGAAAAATAGGCAAGGACCTCACAAGAAAACATCAAAGCATTTAAAGTCATCTGTATGTGAGAAGAACCATAACTCAACAGGAAAGAAGCTGTAGGTTTTCCTGTGGTAGTAGAACTCTGCTTTTACTTTAAAAGCTATAGAATTGATGACTTCTATAGACAAAGGTTGAATAATGTGATGCTGAAAGTTAACAGGTAGCATAATAATTACAATTTTTTAGAAGGAAATTGGACTTCAGCAAATGGAGTGTAGGAGTATCAAATAAGCTGTGGGACTTCAGATGGGAAATGAGGGAAAAAGTGAAACAATTGTCAAATCTATCTAGACAAATCTAATTCAGACCATTTGAAGAAGCTCTAATGCTCAGTAACTATACTGAATTCTGATACCCAGTGTTCAGCAAGGATATTGATACATTTGAATGTTTTGGGGAAGATTTGTGAGAAGGATTGTTTTTTTCTGTTCTGTAATCAGTGGTTAGAGCCTGAAGCTGCTGACCACAAGTGAAATCTGTTGTCCAGCAAAAACTTGCAAGGATCCAGAGGCTTAAGGTTCAGAGGCAGGTCTAGTGGTTATTTGTTTTAGGTATGTCAGTCAAGATGGAAGGATTTAGGATATTCTCTTGAGGCATTTTTGTAGTTCATTCAAAAAATACTTAATTTTTCCAGACTTCTGAGTAGTAAAGTGTGGGAATTTTGGATGATGGAGCTGAAGGACAGATTTTTAAAGACCTTAATTTATTAACATCAAGGCTCCTTTCCCTTCTCAATTCCCTTCTTTAACGCTATATAAAAATTTAAATAGATGACTTTTTCTATATCTTTTCCCCTTTTCTGTATCTCTTAACTTCTCATCCTTGCTAACAGTTTCCCAGTCTATACTGCCTGCCAAAAAGCAATATGTGCAAAATGTAGTTGGATATAAAGCATTATAAGTGCATAAGAAATTGTAAATGTTGTCATCTTTGCTTTCAGGTGTATGAGTTCTCCATTAAAGTATCTGTCTTGTCGTTTTTTCTTATGAAGAGTGTAAAAAATTGGGAAAAACAATGAATTGTTGGGCAGTAGGTATGGGAGTTGTGTTTGTTCCTGATCTAGGTGTTGAAAAGCTGTACATTTTTAGAGGATACTAGTGCCTCGCAGAAAAGCAGAATCACCAGCTATAAATCCTCAAATGTCTGTTCTGTCTCTCCCAAGAAAAAATTATGTAATATGTTCTTACCACCTCCCTAGTGTACTGAATATTTTAGTTGGATGGATCATGCTTTACTGCTTATACAGATCAGCCTGCAAGTTTGTCTATTAAAACTGAATCTAGGGAATAAAAAGTTCCTTGGTGCTGAACATCTTGATCTCATGCCTTAGCCTCAATCTGTTTTTTCACAAATAGGAGTAATAAAGTATTCATTTGTAGCAAATGTAACCTACATGCCATGCAGGTTCTCAGGTTTTATAGCTTTGGTTTACTTTATTGTGGTTGACACTATACTTAGCCATAAATATTTATGGACTTGTTTTCAAAATACGAAGAACAAAGATAACATCAAGTAAATTAGCACTTTTTTTTTTTCTCCTGGTGATTGCTATAGGTATTCTGCATGCTAATGATTGTTAAAATCATCTGGAGGATGCAGTGGTGTGTTAATAAAAATGTACTCAAATGCTATTTCTTCTCCAACAGCAAAGTGCTGATCACAGACAATGTCTCTTGATAGTTTGTAATGTTCTAAGTTCACAATTCAACTAGCCTTTTCCATTGATCTGAAAAAAGGCACCTTTGTGCTAAGCCTTACCTTGTAGAGAGCATAACAAATCAAACCAGATAATCCCTGTGGATTGTAGCCAGAGAAAGGCTGCGTTGGTTCCAGGCAGAAGAATCAGATGGAATTAACCTGTGCTGTGTTTGAGGAGTACAAACCCTTTCTCTAAAATGCTCTGCTTACCGAATGAAGAAATGCTCCTTCCATCCTGAAAAGCACACTTCAGTAGAACATGTAGCTGGAAGAAAGAAGGCTGCCGTGAGTTAACAACATGATCAGGATGATTTGCATTACCATAAAACTGTTTCTTCAAGATCAAATTACTTTAATTTGTTTTAATTACTTGTTTAAATACCTAAAATTACATCTTTTCCATGCAGGCTGGCTTACTTATCCTCCCTGAAAGCCAATATGTCAAGGTAGATGAGGTGGGTTGTTCTGTGAGAAAGGCCAATGGTCATGGACAAGTGTTTCAATTTGGAGCCTTTACTATCCCAGAAGTTCAAACTTAATGAATTTACACTCTGATGGAAGCAAAATGCAAAAACCAGTAAAGAAGTCAAACCAAACAAGAAAAGAACAAACCAAACAAAAAAACCCATACCACCTCTCTGTAATTTTAGATGTTTTTAGTGATTTTTAGTAATTTAATCTTCAGCGTTACTTTGATACTTGTTGCCCTTTTTTCTTTGACACCAAAAAAAAAAAATTAAAAGGATAGCATTAGTTGGAGAAGGAAGGGAGACAGTTGTGCATTGCTGGGGAATGCACCTCCTGGAGGAGCAACCCAGGCATTGTGGTGAGCTGCGAAGGAAAGGGGTTCAGTATTGCCAGTAGTGAAGGAGCAGCACAACCTCCCTCTAATGTGTGAGCAGCAGAGCTGTGACCCGCTCCAGGAAAGCCCAGGACCTGTCATCCCCTTCCTCTGGCATCAGAAGTCCAAATTTTTTTGGGCTGACACGGCAGCAATGTCTCATGGTGTTTCCTGTGGGGGCAGCCAGTTCTGTTGGCAGCAGCAAAACCGGAGTAATGTCAGTAATGGGGGCTGAGAACAGGGTGGTTGTTGGTAAGCAGGCATCAGACCTGTGGAATGTGTAAACCTGCAGCTGTCTGCCTAAATTTTCACACGTGGTGTTTGTGAACAAGTGACAATCATTTTGCAATTAAAAATTAATCTGTGTATATCTAGTGATACTAGATGATACATAGTTCATAAAATGCAGTTCATGTATTGATGTCTAGTGTCTATGTCAAATTTGTCCCAAGAGGCCAAAATTTGTGAGACGTTCTGCCTCCAGCAATGACTAGTAAGTCCGTATAACCCTCTAATTCTTTAATTCAGAAAAAAATGGACATTTTTGTGTCTAACTCCTGTGGTTTTGTCTTAGATAGTTCCCATTTTTCATACATGTTTTCATTATTCCTTGTTTTATGAGGAAATAATGTTTCATTTGAATCTGTAGCAACAAAGGAAGTTTTTTATTATGCTCATCTACATTTATTTGGATTGCTTTTTTATTAAAAAATATCATATATTTAAACTTGCTTTCATACTTTTTATATTTTTAAGCAGCTATTCAATGTTTTGATAGTATTACAAGTATTTTGGATCTTTCTCAACAAGCAGAATTGTGACCTTCACCTGCTTTGGCAAGCTGCAACATCATTACATAAATATCAGAGATGGGTTAAGCTAAGGTCTGGTTTTGCTAGATGCTTATCTTTATTTTGCACTAAGTAAAACACTGTGATCCAGACAAATGCTTCATGTTGAAACCTGCCTTCTCTTACCAAATTTGCTGCTCAATTGCAGGAAAAATACCTTCCTTGTGGTTGTGGAATGATGTTCTGTGTTTCTTAATTCAAACTGATCAGCAGTTCTAAGCTTTTTCATTAGGAAACATTTGTTCAGGTTTTTAAGAAACAGTATACATTGGCAGATTAGATTGGAAAAAAAACTGCAGAGATGGTATCTGCGTGCTGTTAGAGGAAGTAACGTGTCAGCTGTGGTAATTGCAAGGCTAAACTTGGGTACCAGGCATCTCCCATTTTCTGGTAGTTACTGTTATAAGTTCTTAGTTTGTGTTCTTATTTAAATCTATGTGGGAAAAATGCCAAGAAGCAATTAGTGTTGCTATGTAATTTTAAAATTATCTTTATTTGCTGTAAAAACTCTACTGATTATTGGTTTATTTCAAAATATAACAGAAACTCCTAATTTAGTAAAAATTTAAGTAGCTATATTTGGATTGTATATAAAAATGCCTTATGCATTTATGCTGTTGTACATTTGTTGTGTCAACATTTATTTTTTTCTTTGCTTGTTTTTAGTAATTTGTAAAGTAAATTTTTCATTGGTGGACTTCTTAACAATGGTGCTTGTGCATTTTGTAAGACATCTTCTCTGTTCCATTAAAAAAAAAATAAGGTCTTTTGCAAAGTAAATACAGGAATTCTTAGGTCACTTCAATTTAGCCAAATTTATATGCAACCTGAAATATATCCCTTATGTAATTTCAACTTAAAGATACATGCAGAGTTATGGGTGTGATTCTCTTCATGGGATTATTTCAAACATAATTTGTGTATCATTATTCTCTACTTTTTACTATTATGAAATAAATTACCATGCTTCTTGGAGTTTTTAGGCTCAAATAACTGCCTCTAATAGTTCATTAAACTTCAGCTGAATACAGTGTTATTTCATCTGAATAAAAAAAGTCAGTTTAGTTAGATGTTAACAGATGTCTGAAGGTAGATTTGTAGGTTTTTCTCTTGTATGGATATTAATGGGATTCTTGCAACCTTATCTTGATCTTTTAGCTACATACTTCCATTTCAACAGCAGTAAAGGTAAACTGTTATGTAATCTCTATGCAAAGCAGGGTCCTTTGGGAACAGAACAGCAGGGTTTTTTGTTCAAAAACTCTAAAATTATCCTTATTGCCTACAGTAAACAAGGCAAGATGTATCAAATCCACTGTAGCTGCAATAATACTTTGCACCTAGAAGATTATTAGAAGCTTCTCTGCTTGGTGACAGAAAAGTAGAAAATTTGGGTGGAAACTGTATCAATCATCTCTTTCACATTTCATCTTGTTTGACAGTTCTTGCAGAATTTTGCTAGTCTTTTGTATTTCAAGACGCTATGACACTTTTAACTTCTTTGGGAAACTCCCTTCAGATTTCACCAAATGTATTTATTGAGTCCTGTCATAATGACACGCTCAGAGTTTCAATTACTATGTTGGCAGTATTTCCAGGTTAGGCAAAAAATTGCTAGGCACTAACAGCTACAGATTCTTTTTATGTCATTTTGTGGGTAACATTTGTCCCTGTAGTAGAAATCAAGTTTGTTCACTTGACTCTGAAAAGAAGTGTTACTGCTACTCAGTTACTTTGAATTAATTCATTTAGAGTGAAGCACTATCCTAGAACGCATGTAAATGATACTTCTTGGTTAGATATTTGGCTGTTTCAGCTGTCTCTGCCATTAAACTTTGGAAACATTTTCAATATGCTGGTTCATTTAAAGTCAGGAATAGATTTTCGGATCACGAAGGATATTTTGTGTGGACCTGTACATTTGAATTCCATGACCCAAACAAGATTCTTGTTTGCCCTGAATTCTTTATTAATTCCTGAACTGTTTTTTTCCTTTTCTGTTCTCCTTTTTAATATCAAATTTGGCTAATGAAAGGCTTTCAGAAATAATCATGCAGCTAGCTGAGAAGTGAGAAGTTCTTACTGTCAGAAAATGACAGAGAAGAAAAATGATTTCCTTACATATGTTTCAAAAAGAGATGAAGCTCATTTAAAAATAGTGCTGCTGGGATACACTTTGTGATCTGTAAAAAAGTGCTGCTAGAGCACATCTGAAAGAATTTATATGTGCTCTACCTGCCTGAAATCTGTGTGTCCAGTTATATATATTGACTAAAGAAAAAGTCTATATTTTTCTCTGCAGAAACACGATCAGGGCCAAGTTCTGTTGGACGTAGTCTTCAAGCATCTCGATTTGACAGAGAGAGATTACTTTGGTTTACAGTTGGCTGATGAATCTTCTGATAACCCTGTAAGTTATCCCTTATAAAACTCTGGTTTTTTGAGTAGTCTTTAAAACTCATAATCATGTTCATCACTGTGCTTTGTGTTATTTAAAGAGAGGTAAACAGAAGCCATTGCAAAATTGTGCCATCTTCTCCAACTGTGTCATTTGTGAGGGTCTCTCTCATCTTGTAGTTATGATAAAACGGCCTGTTAATAGTCCCAGGTTTGGAGTAAAATGTTGAGTTCTGTGCTTATGAAGTAATATCTTAAAAGGATATTGCTTGTTTTATTTGTATCTGTTTACTAGATTGTATTATCATTGTCCAAAATAGTCAGTCTGTTTTAGATTTGTTTTCTGTTTGTATTTGTCATCAGGATTTACAGAATAATGAGAGGATTTTAGATTGTCATGTATGGAGTTTCTATTTCTAGCCCAGATACCTGGTGATTTTCCAGTAGTGTTTGGTATAGTCCAGTATCTGACAAGGGCTGTCATCTCATCACCTTAGCAAAAAAGGGACTCCCTTGGAAATTAGTATTTACAATAGTTCATGGCCTTAATTCAAAGGGAATTCTACTCAACTAAAACTTTGTAAATCATAAGTAGAAACCAAGAGATGCAAATGTAACAGTCACTGCACTAGTTGCAGTGGTACTACTAGGATCTTGATTGCCTAAAGAGCCCTTCTTGGATATTTTCTTTTGTAAGTATCAAATGGTCAATACTTGTTTTGCAAAGTGCAGTTTAGCTAAGCATTATTCCTTTTAAGACAGTTCTTTACCTAATTCTTATTATATGTGCAGGACAATGATGGGGTCAAAACTTACTTCCCAACTTGTGCATTAAAGTCAGCTACATTCACTTGTTGACAGTTCTGTTAAGACCTTGGTGGATTGCCTCTATAATACTTCTGTTCTAAACTTTGTTTCAGGCTTTAAAAACATAGGCAAGCAGAAGAAAAGGCTGAATTATTTTTCAGCTTTTTAAAAGAAGTATTTAATTGAATATTGCTCAATACATCACTTGACATTCAGAAATTTATCTTGCTTTCCAAAGGGTAGATCTCTAAGCTCTCTTTCTTTTAGTTTATCTGTCTGGAAGATGAGCACAACACTGTAATACAAGGATCTGATTAAGGGTTAGTCTGAAGCAGTGACTTAACAGGTATTTGGTACAAGCACATACTTTAAATAGATTTTTTTTAAATTCTTTTAGTTTCTAAATATTTTGTCTCTTCAGCACTATCTAGTTGCCATGAAAACAATGTGTCAGAGCTAAAAAGAAATATTACCAATATTAGTCATGCAAGCTTGAAGAATGTATGGGTTTGAATAATTTCAGGTTTAGATACACATTTACTTTTACACTTGGTTCATTTGGACAGGGAAACCATATTGGGTTGATAAATATTCTAGTTATTTGTGAAATAACACAGCAGAATATTGCTAAAATATAGTTAATGCAGCAGCAGATAAAGATGATGAGGAAAAGGCGATTCTGCTAATTGAGTGTGAAACCTCTAGCATTGTGTTTAAACATGGATGTCATGAATTGCAGAGCCTTTGTGGTTTTTTATAATATTAATATCAAAGAAAAAAAGTCAACATGTTTTGAAGCATTCTTATATAAAGTTCATATATATCCCTGGCTACAGTGTTCATTAAGCTTTCACATTTAGTCTTAAAAGTTAATTAATCCTGCATGAGGCCTTTTTTTTCAAATATTCACACTTCTGAGGCTGTATCAAACTGTCTCTTTACTTCCTCTTGAGTTAACTACTACAAGGATACAGCATGTGGATCTAGTCATCATCATTTGTTATTCCTCATTAATAAAATGACACAGGTCTAACTTCAGATCCGTAGTGTGTGTTAGGTAGCTCAGGTACCTGTGTGTTTGCTTCCTCCTCCCTCACCTGAAAAAAATAAAAAGCCCTGTGATAAGTGTGAGGGAGTTGCACCCTTTACTGGGTTAGCTGTGTGGCACTGCTTGGGAACTGTGCCCATATAACGATTTCCTGAGGCTTGTGGACTTGCCTTACGAGGCAGCACAAGGAATTGGACAGTATTTGTACCAAAGATAGACTTAGGAGTTATCTGGACTGAGTTGGTGTGTACAGAGACTGCTGGGTTGCTGATGGGCAGTGGTTTAAACAACTTGCACAACTTTGCAGGCAGCTGTACTTTTAAGCTGAAATTTGCCACATTGATTTTTATAAATCTCTGCCTGTTCACAGCTGTGTTCTCCTGTAGAAACAATCAATATTTGGAACTGTTCAGTAAAATTATTCTCTAGACCTTAATCCAGGAGGCTGAGTGCTGAGTCTCTGGCTTCCAAGATCCAGTTAGTGATGTAGAAGTGCTGACACTCAAGCTGACAATTTGAGCCAGTGGGATCACTCCCTGGATGTGGCAGACCTGCAAAATCCAGGGTCAGAAGTACTGGAAGTAGTTAAACAAATTCATTTTGGAGTTGTAAATGAGCCTGCTTACCGCTCTTCACTAGTTTAGGTGGCTCTTCTTAAAAAGTAGCTGACAGCTGTTAAACACAGCATAGCTGGGTTCTCAGGCTCCTGTGGCAACCATGAAAGCAACTCAAAGTGGAATTACTGCTGTAAAACAGGTGTCTGGACAATATAGGTTAATCTTGGGGAAAGAAGAGCAGTAGCAGTTGTTGATGATAGTGATGTCTCCAGAATCAGTAATAAGCCTGTGTGTGCCAGTGAAGCATTTTGGTAAAAAACCAAGTAAGAAGTGATAAAAAAGCACCAGTTTCTTGATGTATAAGGCTGAGATTTTTACTTTGTTTCTCTGAAGTTTGTGTTACAATTTGTCTCTTTCCAGAGGTGGTTGGATCCAAACAAACCTATCAGGAAACAATTAAAAAGTGAGTAATGTATGTATTTCATCAATTCATCTATTGTTATTATGCTATTTTTCCAGGGTGCCCTGATTAATTAGAAATAACTTTTCTTGACCATAGGAGGATCTCCTCACAGTCTGAACTTCAGAGTTAAGTTTTTTGTAAGTGACCCAAACAAACTCCAAGAAGAATATACAAGGTAGGTCTGGTTGCTTTGTCAATAAAATACTTCCCTAGAACAGTAATTAATTTATTTAAGGTATAACTAGGAAACTTTCTTTTAACTCATTCTTGTTGTATGTACAAGCTTCTAAGTTTTGTCTAATAATTACCTATGTCGTTGTACCAAATCAATGCAACAAAAAGACTCTGTGAAAAAACTTAGAAATTTATATACAAAGTGAAGTAACTACATGAAGCAAATGCTACCAAGTAGAAACAGAAAAGGGAAAATAGAGAAAAGAGGAAAATCTTAATCCCAGTATTTAACAATAACTACAAATTTAATTCTATCCTTCCAAATGTTCTCCTTTGTGACGAAAAATTGCTGAGCATTCTGCGTGTTTTCCTCCCCAATTTTTTACTTGGTACTAATAAAATTAATCTCTGTGGTTGTAGTTGTAGTTTGAATCATGTAAGTTTATTTTGATAGCAGTGTGTTGAAATCTGTTGAAGAAAATGCTCAGTGTGAATCAAAATCAGAGGTTTGTGAATTGCAATTAGTCCCTGAAGAAATGCCTCAAATTTTCCATATTTTTAATTACTTCTGGCCCTCTACATAAATGGCATGAATTGACAGATTGGAATTTTTGGATGTAGGCCATTCTGAAAACAGGTCAGCCCCATTCAAAAAAATTATTGAGGATAGCTTTTGAAACCTGAGTACCAAAACTGTGACAATTTGAGTCCACGTTTGTTTATCATTGCCTTTAATTTATCATATTTTGGACAAAGTTCTGCACATATGTAAGCAGACAGAATTCACTAAAATGACTCCCAGAGATTCTGCATGAGGCTTTGTTTACTGAAATATTTACTCTAGGAAAATTTGGCAATTTACTCTATCAAAATAGTGAATAATGAAAAACATGTTTTTTGAATTAAAGCAAAATATGTAATATTCCTGAGGAGATGAGAAAAAGGTTAAGTGTTGATGAGTGTGAAGTAAACCATAAAGAAGGAGAAAACTGGAGAAGTGCTATTCTCTAAACACAAAGCTATAAACACAGCTTTCTTTTAAATGGGAAATAATGTATGGTATCTCTATCTAGGTCAGCTCTGCCTTTTTTGCTAATAGGCCTAATTGCCCTTGAGAAAACTCATTTGTATTTGGAATTATTATGAAGAGAGGGAGATATTATCCATGGGCTTTTTTGGAGTGAAGTTAGGATGCCATGTCACAAATATGGGTCCTTTCACATAATCAGTATTCCCACTCAAAAAAGGGAAAGAAAAGAAAGTGCAAACTTCTGACAATTCCGGCTGGAGCTGAGACTGTTCCAAAATGCTCAGTTTGTACAAATTCCATGAGAACAGAGGAATGGCTCAAAACACGAAGCAGTATGAAGAGCTGTCAGGGAAAGATTCAGTGTCTTCTTAGCCCTCTGTGCGTTCACGTGAGCGAGGCAGGTTTGAATGCCCCAGGTCAGGAGAGGTCAGCGTGAGCTCAGTGTGCACTGGAGAGCTTCGCTTCAGAAACTTGTCTGGGGAGGGAATGAAGCTTCATTTGTGCTCCTCGTGGCAGGAAGAATTGCTTATTAATGTTGACTCCATCAGCAATAATTCTGTCCTGCCCTTTTCTAGCTGTAGCTATATAAACAAGATGAAAACATGGTCATGCAGTGCTGCCTTTGTTGTTTTAGTGGAGTGTGTTGTTCAGGCTTTTCCAGATCTGCTTTGCTAAAGCTTCTATTGATTTCCCATTTTGCTCAATAATATGTGAGGCTTCAGTGGTCAAACTGGTGGCTGGCTAACAAACCATTAACTTCACTGTTCAGTGAAAACAGTGGACAGAAGATGAACTCTGCTTGTTGTCCCTTAATCAAGATGTCCTTTAAGTACCATGAAATATTTCTAATAAAGCTTTATACCAAAAAACATCCAAATAAAATGGAAGTGCAGCTGTATATTTGTGAAGATATGCTCAAGAAAAGCATGTGAAGCATATCCATTTAATATATAAATTTAAGTTGTAATTTATTGCATTTATTAATCAGTAAAGAAATTTGCTTTATCTGTTTTTTTTTTTGTTTCAATATGCATTTTAAGTATTTGAAGTATTTGAGATCTCTAAAGCTTGGAGAATGTCTAAGTTTTAATTCCTTGAGGTCAATGTCTTTTAAAGTAAGATTGTTGCCTTTTTGGTCAGTTAAAGTTTGTAGGGGTTGAGCACATGGACTAATCTTTGCTTGTCAGTTCACAAATGTTTTCCCTCATATTCTTACAAACATGGAATGTTTTACCTTTTTACTGTTATATAGCTTGTAAATAATTGGATTTCTTTGTGAATATTTGTAAATGTTTGTGTAAGACTTTAAGTGGTAGATAATCCACTTTCTGAAGACTACACAGTTAGGAGAAGTCATGTTGTGTGTAATGAAGTGATATATTTTAGCTTTAATTTCTTAGTTGAAGTTGTTGTTGGGAAATAAATATTTAATATTTAGTGCTTTTCATATGTAATATTGGTGTTTGTAATGAATGGGTATAGTCCAGCTTTTGAATCAGAACTATACAAAGGAAAACAGGTGATTATTATAATAGTAATAATGTAGGGTTTAAATTTATAAGAAATCAGGAATGATGTTTAAATTTGCCACTCAGTGACACTTTTGTTAAAAAACTTAAAAGGCAGTGGAGACAAATTCTACAGCAGCTTTTATGTTATTTTACAAGGATTTTTATTCTGAAAGTTTAAGCTTTTGCTAACATCCTGCCACCTTGATAAATCTTGTTTGGTACCCCACTGCAATCTCTAGTTCAGTGAAGCTTTGTAGCAGGTGTGATTTGCCACTTGATGTAAATGTTATACTTCTGTCAAATTTTCTAAAACCTCTGAGTGAAATATGAAGGAACTAAATGAACGAAAGATTCATTCTGAGACATTAACAAAATATTTGGGGTTTGTTGGAGAAACAAAGGAAGTAATTTAGAGGGAAATTTGTTGTACTTTCCAGCTTGTTGGAGTTTTAAAGTCATGGTGTTTCTGGTGCTCCTGTTTGGTGGGAAGTAGTTTGTGTTTTAAAATGTTTGGCTGTTCTTTCTGTTATATCAATCTCCGTCCTGACTTGAAAAGAGTGGGCACGAAAAACTAGATGAATTTCTAAAAGAAGCTTTTTTCACATTGTAATATAAAGAAAACTTTAGAAGCTCAAGGGAAGTTGATTGAGAGGTGTTTGACATAATAGAGTGCTCAACTTTTGTAATAATAATATAACTCCAAAATACTGAGAATAATTAACATAAATGAAAACACAGCAGTATCGAATACTCAGGATAAATTGTTCTGTCTACTTGGAGTACAGATCATTCTTATAAGGGTATCTCCATACACAGATGCAAACTTCAACTTGTGATTGCTGTATAAAGCAGGAAAAATGTGAAATTTATAGCCTTTTAGAAAAATATAAAGCATAACTTCATAGCCTGTAAGTCATTTTAATTTACCAAGCCGAATTATTAGTTTACTAAGCAAAGTTTCATTTCTTTCCTACAGAGTTTAGGAAATAGCATGCAAAATGTCAAGTGTTAGTTTGACACTAACTGAAAGCAAATTACATTAAATTGATGAAAAATGATGGAATAATATTTTTAATTGTAGTGTTTTTTTGTTTGCTTTTCTAAATAAGGTACCAGTACTTTTTGCAAATTAAGCAGGACATTCTTACTGGAAGGTAAGACATTTTTCTTGTGTTAAGCATTAAATGCAAATCTGGTCAAGGAAAAGTTCATAATGAGATATTTTGCCTGCAAAAATAAAAACATATTAAGAATTAATCACTGTCTATGCAAGTGGAAATGTTTATAATAATTACCTGTCAAATTTGTCTGTAGACTATAAAAGACTAGGGTTTTCAAAACGGCCAAATGTCATATGATATATGTAATTTAATTTTTTTATCATTTTAAAAACAAAACAGATTGCCCTGTCCTTATAATACTGCTGCTCTTCTGGCTTCCTATGCTGTTCAATGTAAGTATAATTAGTGTTTGTGTACTTATAGTACTGAAATATATAAAAAGTCTTATTGATTAGTTTCAAAAGAATGTACTTTGTATAGCATTATACGGTGGTGTTTGTGGGCATTGTGCTAATTTTCTCATGATTAAGGACATTGATTGGTTGTCCTCCCCCAGCATGTTTTGCTGAATTGGATATGGCAAAAGTACTTAAAGCCACGCTGTTAGAAAACCCCAAATCAATACTCTTTTATTCCTGTGTATTCTCAGGCATGGAATTGTGCCTTTTGCCTTGAGAATGATACTAAAAAGTATTTCTTAAGACACTAGAATATTTTTAACATACTATACAGTGAACCTCCAAATAGATGTGGAAACGGGAGTTCTGGTCTTATCTGGCAAAAAAGTTCAATACCCATCTTGGCAATTGTAAACCATCCAGTGAGTAGATGAGTCTTGAAAACTGACATTTAGTTTTATTCCTCATTCAGTTTTTCTTCATAAGCTGAAATTAAGCAATGCCAATATATTCATTCACATTCCTGTGGTTTTATACTGTTGAAGATGCTTACATCCACATTAGTACTTTGTGTACTTTGTACATATCAGAGAAACTGTGTCCATGTTAATGCTTTCATTAAAAATATATAATAATGGTAATGTCATGTTTTATGCATGGTTTTGCTCAGTGGTCACCTTTTTGTAGGTCAGTCAAGAGAACAATTTCTCTTAAACAAAACTCCCACTCTTCAGCGGCCTGAAAAATGTACTGCAAATGCTGTCATGCCATGGGGATTTGTCTTTGAAGAGATAAAGTATTTGATAACAGGAATTATGAAAACTTGGTAGCGTTCTAAGGTTTTAAGAACACAATATGGGGTTTTTTTGAAATATTGTAGAAATGGTGGATATACACAGTGCATTGTATTTACATTTATCCATGACATCCTGCTGCTACTAAGTTTGTCAGCATGCACAGCTCTATCTAATGATTCCTGTACCTGCTTAGTAATAAACATCCTGGATTTTTTATAAATACCTGTAAATAGCAGATCTCAGTCCTGTACTCTTGGCTTTCAGCAAGGAGTGCCTTCTGTTATAAAACCTGGTCCAATTTTCTAGTTTTTAAATTATTTAAAGTAGGATCTGTTTGTGGTGATGCAAGTGACCCAGAGGTCTTTCCTACCTTCCCTTCCTTTCCTCATCCTCCTGCTCAATAAGTGCCTTCATCTGCCCTGTCAGTGCTGCTAGGCCTGCCCAGGACCCCAGATCATGATATATTACTGTTATCTCTCCTCTTTTCATTCTATGTTTCTTATCTATCACTGTCGAACTGCTACGTGGATTGCAGATGTTTAAACCTGATTTTTTTTTTTCTACTGTAGTTAGAAATCCTCAAAAAAATAATTTTAGCAAACATTATTTATGTGTTGTTTTCTGACAAATGTGATTGTAATCTATTTCTTATCATTTTAAGAAAGTGTTACAAATTATGTAAACACACTTTTTAGTAGTTTCAATGTAGGTGTATGTATGTGTACTTTGTTTCATACATACAATTGAATGTGCAAAAAATATTTTTCTAATGCTTCTGAATGTATCTTGGTGCAGAGTGAGTGGCTGGATTTTGCAGATCTTCATGACAAAATAGCAGTTGTAGTGTTAAAAGAATAGAATTGTGTAATCTCATAAAAACAAGCAAAAGTAAAATAATAAGAGAAAATTTAATACTATCCTATATATATATCCTACTTAGTGCAAGCTGTAATGACAGCATTTATGGATTAATTTGTCTGTTAAAAATTAAACACTCTATGAATTCCCTTCATAAGTGCATAATCAAAGCCCTCTCTAAATAATCTCTATGATATTCACTGAGAATGTGACTGTTTATTCAAAAGGGAAAATGGGAGTCCAAATGTCGTCTCTTATTTTCTTTGCTGTGGATCATAAATTATGTGGGAGCAAACTCGTGTGAATTTGGGGGCATTGCACAATGCCAAGTACATCAGTGATAAACAATAACCTCTCTTTTTAATATTTTAGCCGAGCTGGGAGACTACAACCATTCAGAAAACTTGCCAGGCTACCTCTCAGAATATTCTTTCATCCCTAGCCAGCCTCAAGACTTTGAAAAAGAAATAGCAAAATTACATCAGCAGCACATGTAAGGATTTACATCAGAAGATAATGACTTTGTCAAATCCTGACTGCTGATGCTGTGCTATTATATTAAACAAAATAGTATTTTTTCTTAAAGGTTTTGGGGTGGGTGGGTTGTTGGGTTTTTTGGTTAGTTGGTTGGTTTTGGTTGTTTCTTTTAAGATAATGTGATTTTTCTTTTTCTAGATTAAATACATGTATAATAAATACCATTGATGGTCTGTACAAAATATGAGTATCTAAATTAGTGAAATAATGAACATGTTAAGTTAAAGGTTCTCTGAAAACAGTATTTGTGCATATTATGTTGGATATTAGCTTAGCTGGATATATTTTATTTAAGATGTTTTTTTTTGTCTTTGGGAATGTTCTGAGCATAAGGGCTTTGTTTTCATGATGCTGTCACCAGTAAAAGAGTTACTTTAGATGTAACAAAGTCCTTTTCTTCAATGTCTGCTCTTTCCTGCGTGTGAGTCTCTGACCTTTCAGAAAAAGGAAAAGGCAATGAAGCAATGGAAAATATTTTTTTTTTCAGTATGTAACGTTGTGGTACTTTCCAGTGATGGTTCCTTCCTATTTTAGAACTTAAGTGCCTTTTGTTAGTTAAATTTAACAAAATGTAATTTATAAAACATTTGCTTGATCAGGTCATTTTTGCTTTCAAAACTGCAGAATGTTACCTTGAACTTCAGACAAAGGCTTAGAAAATTCTCTTAGCTACATTAAAGACATTTGAGTGATTTGAGAGTAATTTAAATTACCAATGCCAAATACAGGACTGTAAAACTAATTTCCAGATTCTAGGGCTCCACAAATATTTAAATGATAAAGTACATTAGAATAAAATGTGTTGTGGGCTCTTGTCAAGACTTCTGTTCTTTTTGGAAACATAAGTACTTTTCTGTTAAAATTTTTGTGTTACAGTCTGTTTATCATAAGAAAGGAAATTCAGATTTCAGGGTGGGGATAGAAGTAGTAAAATGAATGCAGATTTTCTGTCTGCACTCACTTGGGGAGCCTGATGTGGGAGGTCATGTTAGAACATTTCTGATTTAGCTGCTTTCTTTCAGAGGGTTGTCTCCTGCAGAAGCAGAGTTCAATTATCTCAATACAGCACGTACCTTAGAACTTTATGGAGTTGAATTGCACTATGCAAGGGTAAGTTTGGATGAACTAGTGTAATGTAAAAATGTATTCCTCTGAGATTTATGGAAAAATACACTTCACTTTTTGTGAGCCTTCCTGGCTTTTGCTTACAAGAGAAAATAAAAGAAAAAAATATTATCCTGTTAGGTGCCTAACTGGGATTTGCTGATTGAATATCCACTATTTCACTATAGAGAGGCTATTTCTTTGCTTATATTTGTGCTTAGTTAGCTCTGTTTTAATCAGGTTGAGCTTTGTTGCCTTGAATCCCATCTTCAGAGTTCTGTAGCAGGTGCTTGATTAATGTGCAAAGATATTTCAAGAAAAAGGTGCTGCTCAAATATGCTTACAATATTGTTTGTTTTAGAATCTCTCCTCTCTGTGTTCTGAGATTGCAATTTCCTTTCAGGTAGGAATTAAAGGTGCTTTTAGTGTAGCAAATGCCAAGCCAGTCTATTAGTGCTGCTATTCACAATAAACCAGAATACTCTCGTATTTATTTCATCAAAGCTGGTGAAAGACAGAAGATCTAGCTTGAGAAATTAAAGTTTTGTGGTTGCTTATAAGGAACTCTGAGCAAACATTCAGGTTTGTCCTAAATAGGAGGGAATAATTTAATTTTTTGTCTTATTACAACACAATTCTTTCCACGTTATTTTGTTTATTTAGAGAGGGATGAGAATGAATATATATGAGGTTTCAAAAGATATTTATACTGTTATTCAAGTAATTTTCTCTTTTTTTTAAAGGATCAGAGTAACAATGAAATAATGATTGGAGTGATGTCAGGTGGAATACTAATTTTTAAGAACCGCATACGAATTAACACCTTTCAGTGGTAAGAACAGCTGTTTAATGTTTTTATTTGCTGTTTCAAAATATTTTTACCACTCTTAAAAAGTCTGAAACTTATGTTGTTTTGTATCGTGTTGAAATTATTTATCTCATGTGCCATGAGGAATTCTGCAGGGGGAGTTTGTCCTGGTGTGCATGCTGTGCTGTTAAACAACTTGGAAACTCTAATGAAACTGTAATGAATTTCAGTACTCTTTTTCTTCAGGAGTTTGTAAGCATACTTTACTTTTAATTAACTATATAGCCAGGGCCAGTGTGGTGGTCTAGCTTACAGTCTTTAAAGAGACATGTAAATTGAAAAGTATCGACCTGGAGATTGACTGCTCTGACCTGTTTTGTGACCTATAAATTAATTGTAGTGTGTGCTTGAAATTTAATGTAGTTATGGTACTTGTGAATAACTGAGGTGGAGCATTCAGGATATTGTCATCTCTTCATCTGTAAATAATCATTTTCATTATATGATCAAAAAAAGTGCATTTAGTGCAGAAAATCTTTCAATCTCTAAATTCTTCAGAAGTGCTCTATAACCTCTGTGGTGCTCTATAGAAATTATGTCACCTTTCTGGACATGCCTTTCTTAGCTCCTGCAGAAGTAACCTTCCCTTGGTTTCTTTTGCTGGTTTGGAGTCCACTTTGACAGCCTTATTACTTGTGTTGCTGAGTTGCTGTGGCTGCATTCTGAGTGGGTGAAGTCAGTCATATAAGATTATCATAGCAGACATTAGTTCACCAGGCACAAAAGCTGTTCGTTCAGGAGAAGTGATCAGAACTTTTCATTTGCTACTGATTTTGCATTTTTGTTTGCTGCTGATGTGTGCTTGTTATTTTCTGCAACCCCGTGAATTTCTGACATATTCTACTTTTCTGTGCTAAGCTTAGTCTCAAGGTTCATTGAAGGAAGTTACATATCTTGTGGTTTACCAAGCTGAGAAACAGTGTTATTGGTCGAATGTTAGTTGATTTTTGTAGAGAAAGAAAAAATGAAGCTATATCCAAGTGTTATCTGCAGCCAGAACAACTGAATGTGCTGAACATTTTACCTGTATGCCTTTGAAGAAAAGTAAGACTGAGCCAATTACAAAGCATTTAAATTTCCAGTCTTCATGGTTATTGGGTAAACTAAAACTGGAGCTTTCAATGATAAACCTGAAACTGCTGTACCAGTTAGTCAGACCTGCCCTTATAATAGTGACACATGCCAGGAAAGATATCCTTCATGTGGTGAGAGTTTTGAGATGTTGGAGCCATTTCTGGGCTAAGGCTGCTTTATGAATGGAATGCTGTAATAATCAGGAAGGTTTTATTTCAGTGTGATTTTACTGCTGTTATTTTTGGGAAAACAGCAATAGTAGAAATAGGTTCTGTAAATCACACTGGTAAATTACTGAGTACGTACAAACTAAGTCATAATTAAGCCACACGTCACTAATGGAAGTTGGAGGTTTCTCTGGGTTCTGCTTCATATTGTTTGCATGCCAGGGATGCTGATCTAAATTCTTAGTGTGATTTTGTGTGTGTGTGTAATTACCTAAAGAGTTCTTTGTATTCAACCATATCAGCTGACACCAGGGATATGAAGACTATAGTTCCAACATAATTGGTCTTTACAAAAATAAAAAAAAAAAGGAACCACCCTTCCCTATTTCACCTTGTTAGAGACTTTCTTTTGCTGCAAGTAATAATCTGAAATACCAATTTCCACAATATAGCTCAATAATAGACGTATTACCCTTTCTTTCTATCCATAATCATGCTGCTGCTCTTGTGCCACTAGTACCAATACTACTTCTTTTTGCTTCCACTTATTCTTGTTCTTATGCAGCTGAAGTTGTGTAGTGTCTTCCTAGTGCTTTATAAGTATAGTAGATATTTGGATTCCTGTTTTTCAGTACTCCTGAGTTTTCAGACAAGTGAGAGGATAGAAATGCATGTATGTGGGAGGAAATAAAGATTTAACTGTATTGCTTAGAGAAGACTCAAATAAAATGTCTTTGCCCTCCCACTCTTAATTTGATATTATATCTAAATTGCTTTTTATTAATGTTTTAATCATGGGGAGAAATTAAACAGGAGGAAGACAAGTGAGAAATAGAGGAAAACAAAGGACACTGCCTTTTATCCATGTGTCCTAACTTGATCTTCCTGTATTGTATATAATTCTTCCTTTCCCTAAACTTTGCTGCCAGGCACAGAGACCTGGGAATCCAAGGAGATTGAAGACCAAAGGAGAAGATCATGGAGTAGGTCAACCTTTCCTTTGTTACTAGACCACCTGTTCAGCAGTTGGAGACGTGCTTCCTTAGCCCGTTGTTTGTGGTTGATGTATCTCTGGGAAGCTTTGTTGCCTTTTGCGTTCAGTGCCAGTTGCACCTGCAGTTGAGCTGTGCATCTCCCTAGTTCTATCCCTGGATGATTAGGTGGCACTGTGTTCCTCCTTGGTCATCTGATCCTGCTTACACATCTTACACACTTCTTTTTGTGTTTGAGTCCAGTCAGCAGTTCTGAGTGCATCTTGGCTGGCCTCTTCTCATGCTTGCATGTTTTCTAGCACATCAGGATTGTTCTGGATTGAGAAGATTGTCCTTGAAGACTGACTTACCTGTCCTCTGTTCCTGTGACCCAAAGGCAACTCCTGTGGGATTTTGCCCACCAGAGCTCTGAATAAACTGGAGTTCCTTCTCCTGAACCATGGTTTAGTCTGCTGCATCCCTCCGCTTCCTTTCAGATCTTTAGCTTTGCCATCTCCCCGCTGCTGGAGCCAAGTTTGTCTTCGGCTAGTAAATCTGGACAGTCCTTTCTTCTTTGTGAGCTGAGCTATCAGGAGAATCTTCCTGGGTGACTGGTCCAGAACCTGTGTCAAAGAGGTCTTGCTCAAGAAATTTGCTGGATTGCTCATGTCCTGCCTTATCACCCTCCCAAGGGTTGGGGTGGCAAAGCCCTTCTGAGAGCCCAGACTTAGTATCTTGAGATTTCTTCCATGTGTTTGAGTACAATCTGCATTTTAGACTAGGATTTCAAATATCTATTCATTTAAAAAGATATATTTTATTATTTAAGGTGTCTGAAGTGACTCTAGATGGGAAAATCATACCAGAAAAATAATATTGGTGCCTGCCTGTTCTTGTGCTTTTCCTTGTATATACAGTATTGCCAACAGTGAGAGAAAGGAAGCATAGACAGGATGCCTTTTCCTTGGGCTGAGCATGGATATGCTCATTCAGTGCCTAGCAGGCTATTAGCAGTGCATAGGAGCTCTCTTATCTGCTGTATTTTTTTAATAGATGGGAATCAACTTTGCTGAGTCATTTCTTTGTACATGAATGATGGCTCTTTTGAGTTGAGTTAGACCTTACTGGGTAATGTTACAGCTTTGAGTCTGTTCCAAATGGTTTCAGGCTTAAAAGTCAGCTGACCTCTCTCTGTAAGCCTAAATTATGGGATGACATTAAAACCCTGTATGTATTATTCTTATTCTCTTTGAGTTTGTAAATCACCAGGGGTAGTAATTTCTTTAGCAGAAGAGGAAACTCCAAAGAGTGAGAGATAGTAAATGTTTTTATAAGTGGAATAATTCCTAAGTAAATCTGATATGTTGCAAAGTGTATGGAGCTCCATTTTTAGAAAAGGTATATATTAAAATGTTCTTTTAATTGCAATGTGCACCAAAGTGTTAGAAAAATTAGTAATAACATACTTGTTGATTAGCTTCAGCCTAAACAGTCTAATATTTTTTTTTCTGTTTTTCCCATAGTCGAACTGTTAATAATCACTAGTGTATGTCCTATTCAGCAAGTATAAGACCCATCCTACATTATCCTTAAGCAGGTTTTTGTCACAGGAGGTTCTAAGAAGATAGATGCATTGCCAGGGAAATAATTTGATTTCAGTAGATAAGATATAACTCACCTTTAAGTTTCAAATTCTTGAGAAACTAACTCTGATAGCAAGAATATGTTAAGAATTTTTAACAAAAACCCAACTAAGAAATAAGACATTTATTAACTGTTAAACTAATGGCAAGGCTGGGAAAGAAAAAAGAAACGGGGAGAGATGTAAATAACGATAACTTAAACCGTAATGTTCACGGAGTGTCTTTGTGTTGCTGCAGATACAGACTCTCCCAACAAATTAGGACATCCCACTTAGGTTCGTGCTCTGAATGATCCCCTGGAGAAAAATGTCTTTATTTGATTTACTTAAGAAGATAATGTCTATATATAGATATCCAACTTAGGTGTCTGTTAATGTTTTGCTTCTCATCCTTCCTGGTCTAAAGACTTTTTTATTCTGCAAGTGATAAATGTGCAAATAGTAATTCCAGTCAGTTTGCATGATTTTATCAGTTTTTCATTTTTCAAGTAACAAAAGTTACTATGTTTTTCCTTTTACAATTTGAACCTCACTTTTGTTCTTGACCAAAGTGATACTCCTGTATATTTAACAAAATATATGGACTATCCTAATATCAGATTTCATTGAAGAAGTGTATCCTTCGACTGTGATGTAAATACAGCCTGTCTTTTCCCATTTTATATAACTACTATTAGAATGATCATCTAAAACAGTCTGGAATTAGTGTCAGTGTTTCATATGTTTATAGATAACCCGAAAGGTGAACATATTTGTAGGCAGATTTTTCCCTGTCATGTGATATTGTAAATGTTGTTTTCCTCCTAACAGTGTGATCTTTCTTTTAAGGTTGTGAGTCCTATCTCTGTGCTTAATCTTATCTTAGCTGTTTTACTAAAACAAGTTCTGGTTATATTTAAAGACATGTAAGAACATAGAGAAAGAATGTTTTTCAGGGATCAGGTGAAGTTCAAAGGATTTTTTTCATATTCTTAGGGATAATGAAAGCAGCCTGAGAAAACAGAACATCTGCCTGGAATGACCTGAGGATAGAAAAGCTCTTTGGGCTTTGGAATGGGGAAAAGATACCAAAATTAGCAACTGCCTTGGGTTTGGGATGTAAACAAATGAATTTGATGGATAATGTAAATACACAGCTCATATATTTCAAATTATACACACTATTTTATATAATCTTTGATATCTTATTTTTTGTCCATGGAAAGGAAATCTGTTTTCTCTAGAAAGTATATTTTCAGTAGTTGTATTTAAGCCTTTAACCATGATTCAGTATATGAAATGTTTTAACATTGTGGTTATGTTTTTCATTTAGGTTGAAGATTGTAAAAATTTCTTTTAAGTGCAAGCAGTTTTTTATTCAACTTAGGAAAGAACTGGTGAGTACTGTCTTAAATTTGATCTGAAAGCAATGACATTTCTTCTGCTGCATGTCTGCATTATACTGACTGAGACTATGTTGATTATTTGTTTTTTCTGCAATTAAAAGTCCAATTTCACCAGCATTCTGGCTCTTTCATGTTTCAAATAGACCATTACAATGCTTTATAAGTTTTCTTTTTCATTTGATTTGCCTTCTATTTTAGATAGTTTTAGTTTTACATTTGTATGCAGGAAATATAACTTGTTTATGTAAGATAAATGTGGAAAAGGTTGAAAGTAAATCAATATTATATTTAAATTTCATGAAAAAACAGACTCAAAGTAAAGGTAGTGCTTAGTGCTGCTTCAGTTGTATATATGCTTGTAAATTAATGTTTGATAAACATGTTGATTTGTATTATTCAGATTTGGTAATACATGATGACTTTATTATTTATATTTAAACAGGGAAGATAAGAATTTCTTTGTAGTTTTAAATTACATATGGTATATTTTTATGCCTACTTCTGAATTTCTTGTTGAAAAGGTTGGAGCTGAATTTTTCACTGCTTGAGGTGTGTGTTTGCTACCCCATGAAGCACCACAGGACCACAGAGCATTTAATTCAGCAAGAAATTGATTGTTCTGTGCCCCTGAGAGATGAGCTTCCATCACAGACATAGCACTGGGGAAAGATGGAGGAATTTATTAAAAATATGACTACGTTATTAACTTGTCAGCTTATTTAGGAGGTTTTTTTTTTGCAATTCTTACATCTGAAAGGATTTACTGTGGGCATGGTGAGACACTGGAACAGGTTGTGGATGCCCCAGCCCTGGCAGTGTTCAAGGCCAGGCTGAACGACCTGGTGTGGTGGGAGGTGTCCCTGCCCGTGGCAGGTGGGTTGGGATTAGATGATCTTTAAGGTCTCTTCCAACCCTTAACGTTCTATGATTCTGTGATTTGAGGACCTGAAATGCAGGGTTACAGACTAGGTATAAAATATGACTCTAGGCAGAAATGCATCTTGAGTACTGTAAGGCTGTTCCAGGTTTCGAGGCAATATGGCTAAACAAGAGAAACAGCTGTTCTGTCGAGTCAGGCCAATGGCTGGTGACTGGTACTAGTGCTGAAAACAGGAGTGTCTTAAAAGGCGTATCAACAGGCGTATCTTAAAAGCAGATCTTCAAAAATCATGAAGTGCACAGGTCTGTCAATGTGAGCAGACATCATGCAGCATGAGCAGAAAAGTACTGATGCAAGAAAGGTGGAGGGGGAATGTTTTATTGGGGTGACACAGCATTTTTGTAAAACCCCACTGGAGCTACAGACTTCTTCTCAAAGGCAGGCTGAGGTCAAATTTTGTCATGATACCAGTGTGTGTCACTTCCATTACAATTGCAGGAAAGTTGTATTTGCATGCGAGATGAGAATTTGGGTTCTTTTTGGAATTCAGAAATTATGGACTGCAGTTGTTTTCTAAATTAGAACTCAATGAAAATGCTGTGGTAGCAGAGTTCAGGACCCTGAAGATTAAGATACCTAGATATAAAATAGGATTGGGTACTGTGTACTTGAGTATTTCCTCTATTTTCTGCAGAAAAGAAATCTGCTTATAATAGAAGGTAATACTAAGATAGCTTTCTCATCTTATTTCTCTGTTGCTTTTTAATACTCTACATATTGTTACTTGCATGAGAATGTAGTTTATATAATTAATGTAATTTCTCTTCTGAGACATCTTATCCAAGCCAACAAATTAAAAAGCCTTGTAGTGTTTTTCTTTAAACTTTGTGTATCAGATGAAAACTGGTGGCAAGAACTTAATTTTCATTTATTCCAAGTCATGAATATCTTAAGATCAAAGCTCAAATTTGGCTTCCAAAGAAGTCGTACTTAAACTAATTTTTTAATCACAGCTAATGTTAAAATTATTGTTTCCAGAGTTACTTTCCCTGACTAGATTCATAGGATAAGATTCATCTCACCTATATTCAGCTTCAGTTAGGTTAAAAGAACATATTTACTGATTCGTGCTATTTGGCTCACCAAAGCTCATCATTACATTTCTTCTGTAATAATCATGTACAAAGGCTGAAACATCTTGCCAGAACAGGAAGTGTGTTTTAGGATGGATTAAGTTGTTCTCTGGTGGTATATTCTTCCTTTTGCTTTTGTTTTCTCTCCCATTAACAATAAAGGGAGCCTAAATGACTCTCTTTAGGCAGCAGAAACTAGGTGAAGTGACTCAGTGATTGCACATTTGGTATGTAAAATATCTCTGATCTAGTGCTTTGAGTGCATATTTTAAATCACCTATTTACGATATGGCAAGGGAAATACATTCATGGTATGCTGATGATGTGTTTCAGACTGGTGTGTAAATATCTAACAAATTGTACATCTGAGAAACTGCATTTATTTGAATGCAAAGCTGAGATGCTGTAGAATATTAAGTTACTGGACTTGGGAAAGGAATTTTCCACTGGTTTTATTTTTTCCCAACTGGGCTGCATACACTTTTATATAATTCTAAAAAGATATTTTTGAAATACTTATAATAAGTGTTGAGAGCTTTTAATTGCAACTGTCCTCAAAAGTGCAAGTGCCTTATCTTGTAATCGCCTATTAAATTTATTCGCTGACTTGGCATTGCTTAAAGGCATCAACATAAGTAAAGAATGATTTGCCTACTTTTATTAGATTATATCTGTGTTTAAATAAATCACTTAAATGAAGGGAGATGAAGCAGTTGAATGTCACAGTCATTTTCCAGTGGTAGCGTAATGCAATTTTGAGTGGAAGCCGGTGGAGTATTCTGACAATCATATGGCTGGAGCATATATCCACTGGAGCAGGTTTTTCTCCCCATTGTTTTTTTTATTATTTTTTTGGGGGAAAAGTATATTGTATGTAGGACTTCTTCATCCAACATTAGAAGCCCCCTGAGCCATTACTTCAATAGCATTTTTCCATCTTATCTTACTTTGTTCTGCCTGCTCTGTATGCTACTTCACTTGCCTCCTTTGAAGCTGCTTAAGAATAATTCAATAGTTTCGTTTTTCTAGATGTTTCCCTAAACTTCTCTGGTTCTACTTAGTTGCACTCTTGGTTGTACTAATATCAATAGCCGACATCAAGCTTTTAATGCCATCCAGCATGTTTTTGTGATCTTGGTTCTTTGACAGCCAAAGAAGCTGTTGAACATTTTCTTTTGCTCTTTTAGAAGGCAGATGTCCATTGAAAAATTACTTGAGTCTGGAACTAAACAATATGATAGGTTTCTGGCCATAACTGAAACCTGGTTTCAGTGAGTGGCCAAGATAATTGATTTTTTAAAAATTTTTTTTATTATAGGTTATATGCCTGAATTTTGTGCTTTGAATTTTGTCTGACTCCTTTTGACTGACTTTTAGAAAGAACTTGGTCTGAAATCACAAGGTGGTGCATGGGCTTATCTGCTCAAGTACATATTTGATCTTAAGTAGCACTGGCATTCATTAGATGCCTACTTGATTGCTTCCTAACCCTGTCAAAGTTTGTGTATTGCCTTTTTTTATGAAGAGCAAATACTGCTGGCAGAAGTATATTTGCTGCATTTAAGCTTTCACAGGACTTTTGTCCCCTATTTCTGGAAGATGTTGAGTGTAGGGAGCATCTGCCATTATAAAGCACAAGTCTTTTTGTCTCTCTGAGGTGGGATAGGCAATTTCTGCTTTTTTTTTCTGGGATTTTTTCCTTGCTTAGCCAAAGTAAAAGGGTCTCATTAGAGAGTAAGTTTTTCAATCCAGTTTCTTTCCTGAGCAGCAAGAGATTGGAGCAGTGCTCTGGAATCACTGTTTCAAGGCAGGCAAAGGTGGGTTTGAATGAATGGCCCCTTTCAAGGTGCTTATTCAAGTACTGAGCTGTGTGAGAGGAGCACCAATATCCAGTCTGCTTTTTTGTTGTGTTTGCATTTTTAATAGTAGGAATCACAAGGTGACTTGGACTTCGCTATACCCTAACTCTATTTGTCTTACTCTAGTTTTGTGCTGGGGCCTGGAACTTCATTGCCAGTAGGGCATCCCAGCTGCTTCACTCTTCCTCTCCATGGCAAGCAGACTGTTTTCCTCTCCTTAATAAAAACCACAGACACAATTAGTAAGATAATAATTTTGGATCAGAATCCTGCTGTGGCTCTCTGACACTGTCTAACACTGATCTCAGCAGACATAACCCTCTGAAATGCCTGCATGTCATTATCAGACCATAGAGCATATGGAGCCTTGTGCTGTAAAAGCATTCCTTGGGCTGCAGGGCTGCAGGTGTCATTATCAGACCATAGAGCATATGCATCTTGCTGGAGCCTTGTGCTGTAAAAGCATTCCTTGGGCTGCAGGGCTGCAGTATAACTGTCCTGTAACTTTATGTGCTTTCAGCTGAAGTACCGTGGATATTACAAATGTCAGCTTGGGGTCCTTTGCTGAGCCCACATTGATTCAAGCCTGCTGTTTCCAAGGAATACAGGGTCAGCCTTTCTTTAAATCCAGCAGTAGAACCAGATCTTGCACCCCAGAATCATCAGCTAAGATGAATTTCAAGTGCCCAAGTTACACTGGAATATTACAGAACCTTCAAGGGTGAATAGGGGAGGGATAAGTGCGCTTAGGAGCCGATATCATATATTATTCTTTGCTTTAAACAATGTTTCCTAGCTGTAATTGAGATGAAGGGTAGGGTTTGAGGATCAGTTCTCCCTGCACTGCAATGAAAGCTTTAAAAGCTATGAATAGAACTATTGTTAAGGTACCTTTAAAGCTCTAGCACGCCAAGTTCCTGTGAAAGTGCTGTCTTGCATTACAATTAAGTTGATCTTGCTGCAGCTCCATCTCATCCTGCCATACCAGCTCCTCCTTCATGCTTCATGTGTGATCTACTGATCAGATGGTGGAATGAGATTCAGATTAGCTCGTTTTCTGGAATACAAACTAGGGGAAACAGCAGGTTATAGTTTTTTCCCCAACCCATAATTATAATACTTTGAATGACATTAAAATGCATGATCACCAGCTCATATAACTTGTCAAAGTTTCTTTTCCAACTGTTTAAAAGGCTGACAAAACATGAAAAATTGCTACATCATGATTACTTATTGTTAGAATCTAAAATCTTAGCTGTTTCATCCTTTACTGGATCGAGATGAAGGCACTCCATAATTATACATACTTGCTCTCTTGCAGAATAGTAATCTACCTTGTTTATATTGTTTGACTTTTATATTTTTGATAAAGCCTTTTATAACTGCATAGGTAATGGGCTTTATTTCTGTTATCTTGTTTCTGATTTCTAATTTTTAAACCGTTCTGTTCACATGTCTAGAAAATATGGGGAACAGTTGGCAATACTTGCAAATTAAAAACAGATATAAGTAATCTTTATAATTGAATTAAAATATCAGAATTTAGTTTCTTGAATATAATTTCGTCAATTTCATCAATAAATAGTTAGAATTTGCTGTTTGTTTTAAATCCATTTTGTTTTGCCCTAAATTTGTCCTGTGGCTGAAAATAGTGTCATTCTTGTTCCTGAATACAATACTGGGGAAGAATTGCAGGTCTCTGTGCCTTGGTTTCTCAGCAGATCTGAAGATGAGCAGACCAACAAAAGCTTAATTTGCAGAAGGACTATACTACTAAGTTAAATCAGTTAAGGTGTGCAAAATGTTGGGGAGAATTTAGTACTGTGAAGAGAAAGAAAAATGCTGCTATTTCTGGCCCTACAGAGGTTGTTATCAAGCTCTCTCAACGGGCAGAATAGCTTAGCTTGCTTTGCCATTTTGCTTCTTGCATTTCCCAGGAATCTAATGAATCATTTAGAAGTATTTGCTGTCAGTTGCTCTTGAGATCGATACCTGTTCCCGATCTCCAGCTGCCACATGTTCATGACAATTCCTCAACTGTAGTTTTGAACAGAGAGGCACATTGTCTTTGAGCTCCCAAATCATGGAATTATTTTAATGTCGTTTGGGTCATACCTTTTAGACTTGTTTCTATATAACTAAAGAGACTGTTAACCTTTGAGCAGGCTTGTTTTTAAAACAAAAATAACTCGGGGAAACAAAAAAAAAATTCTTTAAAGAAATTGTAAAGGTATTTCAAAAGGGTTTGTTGTACATAAAGTTAATAGAAAGTTAGAGTACCACTTCAAAAAGCATTATTTAAAAAATACCCTAAAGCCAATAATATTTCTTAGTTTCAAAAAGAACTTTGAGTAATTCTTATCTAAAATACATTTTTCTCATATTTTAGCATGAATCTAGAGAAACATTACTGGGATTCAATATGGTGAATTACCGAGCATGTAAGAATTTGTGGAAAGCTTGTGTTGAGTATCACACGTTCTTCCGTTTGGACAGACCACTCCCGCCTCAGAAGAACTTCTTTGCACATTATTTCACTTTGGGTTCCAAGTTCCGGTACTGGTAAGTGCTGATTTGAAATAGATGGGAAAAAGTATGAGTAGTGAGCTCATCAATAAACACAGGGAATTATCGAGAATCTACATTAAAACATCATTCAAGTAGGTTTTGAATCCTGCAACTGTTCCCCTTCCCTCTTGGCCTGAGTTTCAAAGGTCACTAATTTTTAAAGATAGCTTGAAAATATAATTATTACGTTATTGGTGGTCATTATTGCACTAATGCTCTGAGATTGTCTCCCAAGCTGCATTTCTTGGCCTGTTCTCCTTCTGGGTTGTTCATCTTAAAAATGTTTTCTCACTGCTTCAAAGTCTTTGACCTGATCTTTTAGAAAACTGTTGAGTCTCAGATACTGCATGCAGCAACAGCAACAAAACAGACCTAAATAAATACCAAATAAAAATCACTGAAAAGAAGCTTGTACAAGTAAAGCCCACTCATCTACATGTATACAAGGAGGAATTAGGTGAAAATAAAGAACATACATGTTCTGTATCAAACCCAGAACTTTAGAAAATAAGGAGGAAATTAAATCCATAACCTTTAAGGATGAACTTAAAATAACAGGCCAAAAGCTTGGAGGTGCACAGAATGACTGTGGAATAACTATAATCCCTGTAATGCTGGAATGGGGGGTTTATACTTTTTATTTTAAAAAAACCAAAAACATCTCTGTTCAGTGACTGAATTAACTGTCTCTGCAAGTAATGCAGAATGCCAGTGGTTTAAATCATGCCTGAAACAGAGAATATCAGAGCTGCTACTAATCATCCATCTAGAATGGCAGCAGTGTCTGTGACGTACAAAGGGACATGATGAAAAGCTAGAAAACAGAATAACAGGCTATTTCTGTCACACTTGTGAATTGCATAAATGTATAAAGAGGAAAGTAATTCAATGGCTAACTGTTTATAGCATCTGTTTTTGACCAGCATTCACAGTACCCGTTTCAGAAACAGCATTCTATGATCCTGAACAGTGTTTTGAGACTTAACTCAGTGTTGCTGTAGAGAATTTCAGGGAGCTTTTTCATTTCTGTAAGGATTTTGAACCTGAATCATTGTGGTTACTATTACAGAATAGCTCTTTGATGATGACATTCAACTTAAGTTAACATAAGATGAAAAGGGAAACTGCATAAAAATGAAGAAGGTCGTTAAAGTTGCTGGAACAGCCAAAAGGCTGGAATTTCTGCAAGTAGTTTGAGAGCTTGTTGAGAGGCAGCATAACAGGAATAACATGGCCCACAAAGAGAGGTGGAGGGCACTAGGCTTGTTTAATCTGGTGAAGAGGAAGCTGAGGGGGAGTTCAGCAGCAATCCTAAAGCTATTTCAAGGGTAATGTCAATACTGATGGACCCAAAGGTGCTGTAACAGGCAGGTGAGATTTCACCATAAGATTCTGGGTTGACATGAGGCAAAGTGTTTGGGTTTTTTAGGGCTGTGTTTCTGGAACAAGTTACCTGGCTTCAAGGGTAATGTCAATATTGATGGACCCAAAGGTGCTGGTAACAGGCAGGTGAGATTTCACCGTAAGATTCTGGGTGGACATGAGGCAAAGTGTTTGGGTTTTTTAGGGCTGTGTTTCTGGAACAAGTTACCTGGACTGGCTCTGGGTTCTCTGTTAGTGGAGGCTTTGAAAAGTCAGCTAGACAAAGCCATGGCCAGAGGTGACCTAGTGTTAGCAGGAAATTGGACTAGAGACTTCTAGCCAACATCTGTGTGATCAAAAGGAGTCAGTAAAATACAGGTCTTCACAAGCCCAAGATCCAGTAGTTCTGTAATATGAAGGTGGAAATAGCTGATTCTTTGGTTTCGTAAATATTCTTGTAGGAGACTCTGTGCTTGTTCTGGAGCTATTAATGGAGAAGTGGCTACAAGAGCAAGTGTTGCTGGTATCTTATCACCAATTCTTAAGTGCTGATAGATAGTCAAAAAATGTATTTTTTTTCTAGAAGAGAAATAATGAAATTTTATAAAGAATCTTTGATTTGACACAAGACATCTGTTCGTATGTGAAAAGTCAGCAAGTTTCAAGATCTAAACTTAGTTTTGACAAGTTGCATAGAAGAATACAATCCTGATGTGCTTATCATGTAATTTTTTTGTGTTATTTTGCTAAACTAAGTAGCAACTAAGTCACTAGCAATTCAGGGAATAGTTTAGGAGGAGCATGGAAGAGATGCTGTAAGTTTTTAATAGTGGCTATAACAGGAACTATTATTAAGTGTTACCCAAAGATCCAAGCAGAGATTTCTTATTGCTTTGGATAAAAAAGCATACAGAAAGGAAAGCTTTTGTTACATCTAAAATTATTTGGAAAGAAGATCTACCAAATGCTTTTTTAGGTTATGCTGTACTGAAGCTAGGGCAATTGCTTGAGCATGACTGAAAATAGAATTTAGGCATTTTGTTGAGATGGTTCAATTTAAAAAAATAAATTGTCATTCACTCATACTGGATTTAGCGGTTTGATTTTGTTTTGCTTTCCAGTGGGAGAACAGAGGTCCAGTCTGTGCAGTATGGTAAAGAAAGAGCAAATAAAGACAGGGTATTTGCAAGGTAAGTAGTTTGTATTCCTTAATATTTCCCCATTTATATATTTTAAAAACTCAGGATAGGCTTCAGTCTACACAGTTTGTTGTTACATTTATTAGCTCTCTTTGTGCTGTTTTTACTACAAAGAATGGTCTCCTGCTGTTAAAAGACTCCATTAAAATACTGAGTTAATGGGTATTTTTGTCTGTAATAATATCTTGCAACTGTACACGTGTATTTCCTTTAGAAATGAGTACAGTGAGTCTTACTTGTGAGAAGAGCTTTATCACTGTAATCTCTGTGAGGCATTTTACTATGAAAAGTGAGCTGCTTCTGAAGGTATTTGGTCACAGAGTAGCTGGCTAACCAGGAAATATATTACTTAATTTTATTCCAGGCTCCTGGGCAGTTTCGTGATTGCAATAAAAGATTCAAACCATAAATTTAGTTATTTCTTCAGAAATTATGATGCTGTTTTCCAAAGTAAAGCAGCTGCTACATCCACCTGGCAGTTTGGTCTGATCATTAACAGAATCCTTGTGGGGAGGGGGCAGCCCTGTCCTTTTTTTTGTTTCTACTTTTACCAAGATCTGAAATGTCTTTTGCTCCTTAAGGAACTCTGGAGTTCAAATTTGTGCTTGCAGATTTCTAGTAGTAAGTCCAGCAAACTTTCCAAGTGCCTGCAGACACTGTTTCCAAAGCACTGGTAAATTCTGCCTTGTTTTCCTTCCCTGTCTCTACCACTTCTTTCCCTCTGTGCATTAGAATCTAATTTGGGTTTTAGCTCAGCCCACCATGTATAGATAGCTCCATGTTAGGTTTGGGTGCAGAAATGCTGTAACATGCTGGTTCAACAAGGAGATGTTATAAAACCATTTTTTCCTGTGTAAAATTCTTTTTTACTCCATTTAATCTACTTTGGGAATGTGAGTGAACTTTTTTTAGTACTCGGGAGACTCAGCCCTGTGACAGGTGAGCTTTACTTCACTAAATGACAATTGTGGATCAGGTAAAAATTGTTTTTCTTGTTGCACTCTAAACTTGGCAATTCCCCACAAGTCAGGAGAATAGAGGAGAGCTGACAGTTTGTTTTAAGGAGTATTTTTATCATTTCAGGAACTCTTATGCAGTAGATGGCACTCTTCCCTTTGCAGCGAAACCCAGAAAGGGCTGCTGGGGGTCACTTGTAGTTTATAATATATAGTTGGATAAAATTGATGAAGTCGATAAAATCAAAAGCCATGGCTGGAACTGCTCTTATTTTCATAAATCTTTGCTTCTTTTAGTTCATAAAATGCTTGGCTCTCCCATCCTCAGGAATTTGGTTTTTCACTGTTGCTTTTTTATTAAGAAATAAAGCATTTATTCACATATTTTGAGTTTCTAAGAAGTGTTGATTATTGATGTCTGAGGCATATATGTTTATATCAGTGAAATTAAATAATGGTGTATTGTAACAAATACATCTCAAAAGGTTTTTAGCAAATCCACTGTTTCTTCTTCTGTCTTCCTCATGACAGTGTGCAATTAATTTATTTTCAATTTTAAAGACCTTTAATATTTTCAAGAGTGAAAAAAGCTTGAAAGAGAAGACATTTCTGGAACGCAGTGTTGTTCAAGAAACTTAATTTAAGAACATTAATTCTTTGTCTTCTAAACATGTGCATTTCAGGTTGACATGCTGAGTAGATGTCAGCCCTTTTGTATTCGTACAGAGGATAAATTTTGTTTTCTAAGATTTTCCAGGTATAGTGTGGGTTTTACTCCTGGAACCTGCCTTTCTTTTTCATGGTGTGTCTTTATCAGACAAAGTCATGGTAGCATTGAACAGCTTTTTAAGCTCTCAGGCAGTGGGGTTCTTTTGGTGGCCTTTCAGACCTTTCTTGAGAATTAGGTGGGCACATAATTTGAAATAATTGCTATTGCTTTTATTATTATTACATAAGAAGATTTATTCAAGGTCAGTTAAAGAAATGTTTTCAGTGGTTTTTTTATAGAGTTATCTAGATTTACATTTGGATTTCTTAACAGTATCTAATTAGAAACTGCCTTACTTGAGCTAATGCTGTCCAAGCAAACCTTTGAATCATTTCATGGTAAGAAAATTAACATAGAGAGTTACACTGAGATGTTACTAGAGTGATCTGTTTGCTCTAAGTTGGGAAATGTTGTCACGAGTAATGACTAGCTGCTCTGGCCTTTGCATGCTGAGTGGAACGTGGGTGCAGAGCATGAGACAGGGAAATAAATTTTTTTAACAGCCAGTTAAATAAAACAAGCAATTTTAACCTATAGGAAGCAGGCTTAGCTGTTTGTTCTCGGGATTTTACTTTGAAATTAGATGAAGGATTTTTTTTCTAAATTGTAGAAACATTTACATTTAACCTTTAAACATGGAATTATTACTGTGAAGGATATATTCTGTAATAAATCACATACATTATGTAGGTGCTGTTTTCTTAATCTTTATGCAGCACCAAGTTCAGCATTCTGAACACTATTGCTTATTGTTTAGGATTTTTGTGGGTGGTTTGTTTGGTTGGTTTTTGGTTTTCTGTTGTTGTTTGGGGTTTTTTTGTTGATTTGGGGGTTTTTTAAATAATTTTCATTACAGCTGTTCTCTTGGCATCATTTATTGCAGGATATTTTCAATCCACGAAACCCCATAAGAATTACCAGAAACTTAATAAAAGTAGATAATAAGAGTTAAAAAGGTTCAATCAAGTCATGAATTGAGAGAATTCTTAAAGGGCACTGCTTTGTCTTAGAATCCTTGCAAAATATTCTAGGGCTGCTCAGTTCTGGTGTGCACGGGGAGCTGAGAGCAGGGAGTTTGAGTGAGAGGGTGTCAGTCATTTGTATCTGCAAACTCCCTATCAAAAATTGGAGTCTCTGTTGCCAAAAATTCAGTCTTGCTTCAGTTATGCACTTATTCAGGTCTGTTAAATAATTTGTCAGGTGCTTTTAAATTGCATATGTTATTTGTGAGATATACCTTGCAGATTTGTTGATAGTTTTAGCCTCTTGGTCTGCAGCAGTATTTGTCAGTTTCGCTGAGAAATGTGTTCCCTGTACTCCTTGTCAAAATACAAAGCAAGGCTGTAGCTTCAGGTTATGTTTCTTTTTGGGCCAGAAATTACTTTTTAAATCCCCACCTGTATTCCCAAACAACACCTTTGTTCTTTCCCAGCTTCTGCAAGATTTTAGCCCTTCAGCTGTGGATGCCAAACAAATTCTGTCTTTGAAGGCTTTTCTGTACTGTATCTGAGCTAATATAATGTCATGGGGTTTTTTTAGTTGCATTATGTAATTTCATCCCTGCTACTCAGTTTTGGGTGTTTAGCTTTATTTTTTGTATTTGCTGTAACATTGCAGCTCATAAGACTTGGGGGCAGATAAAGTTTTCAGTTTCTGTTGCTACTCAAGTAGATGGGACTGCTTCCAACTTTTGGGAATGTCTCTGCAGGTACACCAAAATTAAATCTGAAAATGGCTTATTCTGTCAACTATCAGTGGCCTGTGCTGGGTGCAATAGAAGCATCTAGGCTGAGCAGACAGAGGTGAAATTTAAAATTCCAAAATTTCAAAGTTTTATGCATCTTCGTTCTCCTCTCCCATCTCCTCAGCTGCACTCTGGTGTGAGAAAATTATTTTAATATTGTTAGAAATCAGATATAAAGGACAAATTTGTAGGTATATTTCACAACAAATCTTAAATGTTAATTAAAAAAAAAAACTAAACCCTTATTGTTGGATTTAGAAGTGTTGACAGGAGAACTAAAATTGGCACAGCACTAAGAAGTTCAGTTCTGCAGTGTGGTAATTTTTTCTTTGAAATTTCTGCAAAGACAGGAAATTGGGGCAACAAACATGAGTGGGTGGGGACTCTGAGGTTAGAGCTGTTAATAAAATAATTGAGACGAAGCTTTGGTGATAAACGCTGCAGCTGTTTATCATGGTGGTAAGGTGATCTTCTGAAAGATCAGACCCTATCCACAATAAAAGGTGAGTGTTTTCTTGACATTGGATGTTTTCATAGGGAAGAACGTGATGATTTGCTCCTTTTGGAGTTGTGTTCCTTTGTTGTATCAATTGAGGAAGTTTACGTAAATAAAGTTACGGACTTCGGCTTAAGATACAAAGCAGTGGGGGTTTTTGAAGGAGTCAAAAATGTAACTTTTGGAAAAACTTGAATTTTTTTCCCCCGCCCTTGTATGTTCCTGTGTCTCTCTTTGTAATTTATCTAGTTTCACACAGGCGAGGATGGTCCACTTATACTGTTGTTGCATGTTAAATAAAGAAAAGCCCCCCCTCCAACTTTCTTACATTCCATTTGTTGCTTTTTCACTGAAGGTAAATGAGGGTCAGTAATTGCCTTTACGTGTCTGTCAGCAAATACTGTATCTGCAGTCCTGCACTTACCTAATTCAGCATTGATTATATTACATTCTTCTGCATTTTTCCCTCAGGCTTTTCTTTGGCTGGTAGTAGAATCCACCTCTTGGCAGAGCTGTTTCTTGGTGCTCATCTGCTGGCTGCAGACAGATGATTTGAGTGTCAGCAGGGTCCAGCTAATCAGAGCCCTGATCAATAAGAGAATAAAGAAAGGCTAGAATCAGACATGCATTTCAGTTCTGCTATTTCAGTTGCATGTTCCTTTACCTGTTCAGAACTGCTTGCATGTACATGTTTGTGAAGAAAGATAGCAAAGTGGTTTGAGTTGCTCACATTTCAAGCAAATTACGTAAATTGGAATTTTGGTTTAATTGATCTGATACCAAGCTAATTATTTTTCAAATCAAATTATTATTCCTTAAATACAGTGGAGCGTGCTAAGAAACTGGATGTGCTTCTCCTGACGAATTAATTGGTATTTTCCCTCTTTATAAATATCAATACACTATTAGATTTTTTCCCCCAGGTGAAATAACACCTGAAGTAGTATTATTTAGAATAGAAATTTCAGCTATTATTTAGAATAGCTGAAATTTGTCAGCTATTACTCAGTAAGATTTTAGAGCAGTAAAGCAGAATGCTATGCATGTTTAGGACTGCTTGGTGGGGTAAAAATAAAAGTAAACCCTTCACAAGAACACCACCACTCCATTAGTACTCCATTATTTCTGTCTATGAAGCTTATTCAATATAGTACTTGATTGGTTTTTGTTGTAGATTTTTTTGGTAATGTTAAGGACAATATTATCTGCTCAAGGTGGTGACTTGCATTGAGTTTTAAGTTCTCTGAGAAACAAAAATATATTGGTTAGCAGGTTTCCCGTTTTCAGAGTATGTAGTTTGTGTACAGGTAGTTCCTTAATTTCTCAAAGTTCCTTCTTTGTGGAGTCACTCTTTCAGTAAACCAGTAATAATGACGAAGATAGGGAACAGTTACCATGTGTCACAAGGACAGTGAAGGCAGAAATTATTTTTTGGTCTGGGTCTATGGAGCTGTACTGCTCGTACAATAGTATGTTATCACCTCATTGTGCCAAGCTGGAGAATTTAGTGATAGAATATGAAGGCAAATGGAAATGAAATTATCATGTCACAAAAGATTCAGTATCACTGCAGCTACAGGGTTGAATAATGATAGAGGAGGAATCTGAACTATGTAACACCATCAAAGCAGTAGAAGTAAAGTAAAAACCTAGCAAAAGAAAATATACAAGACATATATGGATTGTTTAAAACTATTTTTGTGGTTAGCTGAAGAATTTTCAGTTGAAAACAACAAACTGCGAAAGTCTTGGGTGTGTTTTTAGTTGCAGGATGACTGAACCGTCCAATGCAGCGCTAAGAAAAAAGCAACCACAGATGATTCATTTGCTGCTTTCCAATAATAAAGGGAAATGTTGTATTTCATGAGAGATCGCAAGCATAGTTCCATTTGTGCTTAAGAGGTGAAAGAAACAGCAGGAGATTGTAGGCATCCTGCAATGACTGGAGAATGGGAAGAAAAAGTTTTGTTCATGTCAAGAGAAGGCAACAAGTAGAAAACAGAATTCCTTTTGTATGAAAGCACTGCTAAGAATGACCTTTAACCTGAAAAACATTTCTGTCACAAAACCAGGTGAAGTTCTGTTACCCACAAAGAAGTTTAAATAGTTAAGTAATATTATTGCATCTGCCTGGCAAGTGACAAGGTGCGTTCTGGGAGAAAGAATGTGGTCTTGATGGAAATCCCTGATGTCTAAACAAAACTTTGTAACTCTGTTGCCATGTTGTTGATTACCTCACTTTCAGTTCTTCAAAGTCTTTGGGAGTGTTTTGGCCTAGTATTTTCACTGCTTTCTTTTTCCTGAGGTGGCTAAACAGTTGTGTTACTTAGAGGGGATTTTTTAACTTGTTTATTTGTTTGGTTTTGTTCTACATTTAATAAGTTCAGATCTCTCAGTGATTATGCTGTTTGAGTCAGATTGTCCTTGAGGCATTAAAAATCTAGTGAGTTTAGGGCTGTCTCCCTCACAGCCAACAGTAGTTTATTAGTATTTCAATGGCATTCTTTTCCAAGTGCCTTAAATGAAGTACAGTAGATGGAGAAAATATAGAACTGCCCATGTAAATACAGCTTTGCAGTTTTACATTTCCTTTATTACATATCATTTGGTTTCCTGTGATAGAACATCAGTTTCATTGTGGTGAGTTTTATATAATTTTGTTCTTACATTATACAATTTTTGGTTAGTCATTTGGCTTTCTTCTTCTAGATCCCCCAGTAAACCCCTGGCACGGAAAGTAATGAGTGGGATGGATTGGGAAGTGGTGAGTAGGAACTCGCTGTCTGACGATAGGCTGGAAACACAGAGCCTCCCATCACGGTCCCCTCCTGGAACCCCAAATCAGTGAGTAGCATCAAATCTTCTCTCCCTACAAGTGACTCTCTGCCTCTAATGTGTGTGACCTACTTGCGTAATAAAGGGATTCCTGTGTTATTTAGACAAATAGCTTCAAAAAATGTGTGCTGAATGATTCTCTGTAACACTTAGCTTCAGATTCAAAAACAGTTTTTTTAGGTGCTTCTCACTTGACCTATAAAATGTGTAGGATGTATCACACTACCCTAAATTTGAGAGTTTGAGTTTCCTCAAGCGCAGTTAAAACTAAGTTATTGATTTGGTTTAAAAAGACCCTGATGATAAAATCTGTGTGATATTTTAAAAATAATATATTTCATTTAATACCACTTTTTTAAACATTGGGGAAAATTACTTTATTGGAAATCCTTGCAGATTTATTCCTATCAATTTTTCTGCCTTTCCTTTCAATGTTCACTTTTCATATGATAGATCCTTCTGAATTAAGTTAGTGAAAAAACATTGCTGATTTCTTTTGGAAGGTTACCAATTTTATCAGTGTGCTGAAACTTGCTTAAGAATCAGTATTATTCAATTTTGTATTACATAGACATCAAGATTTTAAGATTCTACAGCATATTATTCACAAGATCAATGTGGTAAATACCTGTAGCATTTAAAAATTACTGAAAAATTGTGTAATAATGATGCTTAAAGCACAACAAACTTAATCATATATGTTTAAAAGAATTGTAATATTGTCGTGCTAGTTTTCAAATGGGAAAATACTGGATTCCAGAGATTATAGGACTCTCAGTGCAAAGCTTATGATTCTTCTAGGGGAAGATGCAGGGGATAAATTGTTCATCTTAATGGATTCAGGTTAAGTTCTGCCATGAACAGAGTCAAGATTTGTCTTCTTAGGAATCCATTGCTCTTCTTGCTGACTGGGCTGGCAGCTTGTTCATTGGAGCATAATTGTTTCAGGCTTCTTTAATTAAAACTGAATAAATTTTTTAAACAGCCCTTAGTGTTTATTAAAATAATTTTTGAACACTTATAAAATGAAATACATGTTGATCTGACAGCATGTACTTGTTTCAGTGATTTTTGAAATTTTAATAAAAATATGTGTATGAACATGTGCTTGCACTGAGAGGAAATAATTTGTTTAGCATCCCATTTTAGTGGGTGGTATCAGAAATGTAGATTAACAATAATATTCCTGTCACATTGCACTGCTCTGCTTTCTCTCTTAGTCGCAACTCTGCCTTCACTCAAGAAGGAGCCCGATTACGACCCTCATCAGTTGGACATTTAGTGGATCATGTGGTTCACACCTCCCCCAGTGAAGTATTTGTAAATCACAGATCTCCATCCTCCACCCAGGCCAACAGCATCATCCTGGAATCATCCCCGTAAGTTCTGCTCTTATCACGCCACTGTGGCATGCAGGGCTGCAGAAGAGAAGTGAGAGTTCTTGGCCTTGAAGAATATATTGTTACATGTGGGGTCAGGGAGAGCCAGGCAGTCTAATAAAAAGGTGGTTGTTATTTAGGGGTATTAGTGCAGGTCTTACTGTGAGAAAGAGCTAATGGTACAGAACTGAAGACCTGTGTCTGACATACTCCCGGTTCAGGATTACAATGCCATCCCCACCACACCAAGCTGTGGGTTTGCTGTAATGTGACCATCAGTGTCTGGATGTGGAATCAAAAGTTGGGTTTTTGATAGAATTGAAGAAATTTTTAATTCCCACAAGTCTGGAAATATTGCTTTTTGTCAAGGCATAGAAGTGATCTTTACAAACTATGTAGTCAAAATACCTTTTTGGCACCTGGGCATTTGGGCATTGCTAGTGTATTTGGTATATTGTTACACAGTTTATTCTTTTAAGCTGACACTGTCAGGCTTTTTTTTTTTTTTTTTTGATAATGCTGAATATTCTTTATATGGTGTATACGGTAAGCTTACTTACCATAGGATACAATGGGCAAAAGAATTATTGTGTATTGGGTCCAGAAGGAAGACAAACAAAAAAACTGAAATACTCAATAAATTGTGTCAGAGTACAGATTAATTGGGGAAAAATACTTCAATATATACCATTTTATCACTGCCAGTACCCTCTTAGTATAGTTGAACATGTAATGCCAGATAGGCTCTCATAGTTTTGTATAATAATCTCTGTTAGCAGGGAAATTGAACAAACTGTTTCAAAATCAATTGAGAACTGTAAAGCAGCACATACCTAATAACATGTTTATAAACAAATTGTATGTCTCAGGAAAAAAATACTCTGGGAAACTATTTAAATACAGTTTTAAAATCTTGCTTAGACTGACTGTACTTTCAGTTTTAACAACTAAGTGTAGTTTTTAGGAGGGAAGTAGAATGCAAAATTCTTAAAGTTTTATAAAATAGCACATGATGTTTTTACAATAGACTACAACAGTTACAGTTTGACCCTCAGCTAGTTACTTAACTTTCAGGGTTATGTAATATTAATTTGACCTAGTCATGTAAATTATCCTTTTTTTGGTGGGCTTTTTAACGTTCACGTGCCAAAAGACTCTCAGAACTGGAACGGATGAGAATCTTTTCTCATATTACAGTTTTCTTGTCCAAAAGCCACACAGGATCAGGTTCCTTCTATTCTAAGACTTCCATCTGAAGTCAGAAATGAGAAAACCTTACTAAATGACACGATACCATGAAGAAAGCACAATTTTTAAATACTCTTTTTTATTCATATGCCTTTACTTGAAGTTGTAGGAGTTCTTCCTGAGTGTTCTTAGGATTTGTTTATTTAGTACTTGATTTCTTTAGTAAGTCACCATAGAAATTAGTCTTAGAAAGAGAGGAAGTGGTTTTGTACAACTATGGTTGTTCTTTTTCATATTCTTGCACTTTTTATGCCCAAGCAGAAAAAGTATTGCTCTTCCATCACTAAGTGTTAGGGGTTCCATTTTTGGGGTTTTTTTTCCTCTTCTTGGAAGCTTGAAACTAAAATTTAATATCTCAGTATAGCTCTCTAGTGTAGGATACTTCTAAGAATGAGGACGTTGACTTTCAAAAATATATGAATCCCATTAAGGTCTTTTGAAGGTTTAAACTGATGTTGTTGATTCAAGTTTTGCCATTTATGAAGGAAAATAGTAGACATGAAGTTCATAGTAGCTATATAATTTTAAGCTATACTATTCTACAGTTCAAAAAGCTATTTCTTAATCAATTTGACCTTTCTGGCTGAAAAGACTTGAGTAGTCCATGTGCTAATTTGGCAGAAAGTCTTATTTATTGATCAAATTTATAGTGTGAAAAAGAGGGGCTAACCTGACTGGCAGTAGGTTTGGTGATCTTTCTGAGTTTGGAATCAACATAGCAAAAGAAATTAACAATTTCCATGCAGTCCAGAAGGATATTATAGCTTAGCTAATATAACCTTTAATTGCGCATCTTTTCTCCATCTGCACATCCTATTCAACACTAAATGCTGTGCAGTCCAGAAGGATATTATAGCATAGCTAATATAACCTTTAAGCGCATCTTTTCTCCATCTGCACATCCTATTCGAGAGATAGTGCTCGTAGTTCCCTTAGCTAATTATAACCTCAAATTCCAAAAGCACGTGATAAGTGTTTAGTTTAATACATTTATGGGGGTGTGTATGGAACTTTTGCTAAATATATTAAAAAGATCAGACCGGATATCTGTAACAAAAATACCCGAAGCTTGCCAGTGCCAGGGTTTGTATGTTATTTTATTATGATGTAAATTGCTGAATTCAGTAACAGAGAGCTGCTTTGCCTGCAAAATAGGCTGCTTTCACTGCCATTGTCTGAGCATTCATAAGGAAATTCAAAGCTGACTGGGCAAATATAAAGCACTGAAGTTTATGCCCGAGGCTTGATTGTTAGTTCTCACAATTCATTATGCTAATATATTACAGAACTTGCATTGCTGCTTGTAAAATGCTCATTTAAGTAACTTTTCAAATCTTTTCTTTAAGTTTATGTGTTCGGTAGGAATTTACTTGTGTTTGTTGGCATGTATGTACAGACATCTAGTCAAACATCAGATCCGTCTTCTGCTTTTATCAGAGTAACTTCTTTTGTGTTTCTATTCGTGTTTTCTGTTCCTTTTTTTCTTTGGTTAAAACTCTCAGGAGTAATTGTTTTCAGGAAAATACATAACTTAAAAGGCTGAGTAATCTGTGCTGGCCAGACTTGAATGAATGAATGCAAAGGCAGCTAAAAATCTCTGGGTGACCTTTGTAAGTCGATGTCTAAATAGTTTATAGCTGCCTTGCAGATTTGTTTTGCAAATGTTGACAATCATCATATTTTTCTCTCCACAAAAATGAATTTAGAAAAGCTGCTTATCTTGAAAAATGAAATGTGCTCTTTTTTCTGTTGCTTGCACTGAGAAGTGTTAAGAAGTACTATTTTTCTTCCCAACTGTGTTTTGAACATAAGGTTCTTCAGACATCAGACTGAATAATTAGTACTTTTTTTTTTCTTGTAACACTTCATGAAAAAAATATTTTCTGAAAGTTGAAATAAAGCAGAAAAATAGAGGAAAATATTGTTGGGATCTTTTAGAATGTTCTGCTTTCTTTCATACACTGACAAAAATGTTACCAGTTTTGTTTTCTAAGAATATTGACTAATTTTTTATAAACTGAAGCAGAAAATGTTTGGCATTTCAAAGTGAAGTGTTCTATTTCCCAGTTCTCGTGCTTTTTGAAAGAGGTTCATCTTTTCTTTTTTTGAAATCAGTGTACTCAATTTTGCTGAGATTTTTATTTTTGAACATGTATCTGGGATCTGCCTTTCTTGAATTGCATAGAGACAAATTTTATGGTATAGGGTTTGATGTGTGCCTTAGGTTTTCAAATTTGCTACTTGAAACCTTGTGCAGTCTCTTACTGAGAGTCTTGCCCTGCTAACAGTTCACTGAGGCACGACTACTAAATACAGTGGAGCTGCTCATGTGGCTACCTGTGTGTTTTGGAGGGAGTTTTGTGATGAGTTACCACTATAGCTTGCTGATAATGAAAGGAGCAGTATCCTCCTTTTGCCTCTGGGAGTGTCCTTCCCTCTCTGCATGGTGGCCAGCCCTGAAATAAAATAGAGGACCCAGGTTGGTCCAAAAAGTTGTTTTGGTTGCTTGGTGTAAGCTGCCTTAGCCAAGGGAGGAGGACCAGTTCTTCGAGGAAGCAGCCAGGGATGTGGGTGAAAGAACAGACACCCCTATTTTTGGTGGTAGTATTCTCTTCAGATTTAGCTATAACCTGTAAGTTCATTCTTGATGGTTTATGGATCTGGTATCAGTGGGCTGTTGTCTGAAATCGTTAAATGACTTAATAGCACCTTTTAATGGGGTGCTTGTGGAGGATGACATATCCTGCTGGTATTTAGAAACTGGCATTCAAACCAAGTTAATGGGAACTGTGAGCTCGCTGCCCTTTTGAGCCTTTCCAAATGTTCTTCTTAATTCTTAAATATAAATCCATATAATGAAAGATGAATCATATATTTATGTAATATGAACTACAGAGTTTTTTTTATTCCAAGAGGACTAACAAAAGGAAATTCTCCATATTATGCAAAAACACAGAGAACATTTTTATTAGTCTACAATGAAGTGCTTGCAGATCAGAAGTAGTGGGTTAAGCATGCTAAAACCATTTTTTAAGAATGTCAGGTAAAACATGAACTTGCTGATTCTGTGTACAGTTACTTGTCAAGAAAAATGCTGCAACAGGTGCAAACATAAGCTGCCAATATACTCTACTGCACTACATTTTTGAGGTTCTAAAAATACATAAAATAACCATCTCTCAAACTCTTGAGTTTCTTCTAACATTTTCAGTTTATTTGCAACCCTGAAAGAGCTGTCAATATCTCATGATTGTTCCACTTCATATTTCTATTTTGTTATTTAGATCTCAAGAGACTCCTTTAGATGGGCAGCCTCCAGCGTTACCACCCAAACAATTTAAAAAGAACAGTTGGAACCAAATTCATCATTCACACTCACAGCAAGAACTGGATAACCATATTAATGAAACATTTGATGTCCCTGCATCACCTGAAAAATCCACTGTAAGTTTTGTGATCCAGTTGAACCATTCTGCTTTTAATCAGAATGATTGTCCTATTTTACATGAGCTTGGTTCTGAAGCATTTCAGAGCTGCTGTGTTTGTGCATTACCTTGCAGCATTACTGTCCCTTCACTGGCTCCAGCTGGCTTTACTCCAGCTGCTGGAGTAGTGCTTTGTCAATTGACAACAAACCACTACATTGGGATGGTTATGCAAACCTTTTGAGCGTTAGCTTTTCAGCACATGCAGAAATTTCTGCCCAACCTCTTCTTTGAGAACTCATTTGCCATCAATTTTAAAGAAGATATTGCAGGTGTTTAATCTAGCTTTAGCTAAAAAACTAAACCTGAAAATGCCTACCAGCTTCTATAGTAGTTTTATCAAGAGAAGCTTCTTGAGTCTGTGGTTGCATTTCTTCAGAATTTCCAAGAAAGAGAGTATCAAGAGGCCTGTGATAGCAAATACAAAAATATGAGCAGAAGTTCTTTTTCCATAATCAAGCATGTGTGAGATGACTACGATAGTCAGTTGATTGTCTTACTGAGGAGAGATCTCCCTGATCACTTCTGTGATTTTTGTCCTTCCAGAAGTTTTCCAATGGTTCTAGATTTTATATTGATGTGAACAGTAAATAGGACAAAAAAACGTGTTGCAGGAAGGGAAAACATCCAGATAGATAAAATACTGTGTAAACAGTTTTGTCAACCTCAGGCATTCAAAATTGTGAGTCACCTCCCTGTACTGATATTTAGAAATGCCTTAGTTTGGGTTTTTTTTGCATCCTGAACTGTAAACCTATGGTGTTCTGTTCTCTCAGGCCTTACAACAAAGTTAAGATTCCCTTAAAGCCCCTGTTTCATTTCATAGCTGGGGTTTTAATAAAAGACTCAAAAGTGAAAGTTTTAAGTTTTTGAGTGTTTTGGGAATGTTGTAAAATTTTTTGTTATAATTAAATAATGAAACAGAATTCGTAACAGCTTTGTCTTCAGGAAGTGCTTACCTGAGTCACATTAAAGTACTGTTCTGTTTTGAAAGATAACTCTCTTTAGTCATCAAGTTTTTCTTCCTTGTGTTGTTATCTTTACTAAATTGACAAAAATAACTTTCACTTGTTTTTTTAACTCCTTTTAGTTCTGCAAAACCAACACAGCTGTGTGAATGAGACTGTTTTTTCTCTGTGCATTGTCAGTGTGATGTTTGCTATGCTTCAGTGGGACACATTTATGCAGTCTTGCTGAAGGCAGTGCACTGTTGTAATTGAACATCTAATTCGGTCTGCTGATGATTTTTTATTTTGGGGATTGAAGAAGAAGGAACATAGCATGATTGAAATTTTTGGAATGTTGTTTTGTTTCAAAATTCCTTTTCTGACCAGAATTCTGGTTCCTGCACTGCTAAAGTCTTCTGCTGTTCCATCTCAAATATTTTAGAGAAAACCCCTCACCATTTTGACTTCATAAAGCTATTGGATTTCCTTGGTTTGTTGCTTGTATGGAGGGTCTGTGTTGAAAGGTAGTAGAACACATAGAGGAATGACAACTTTTTACTCCATCTGCAATCCCTAAGTGTCCAGTCTGAGAATGTCAGAAGTACTTTAAAGTACTTGAAACATGTGTGGTCAAAGTCCCTTCAGTCAAACACATTAATGATGGCATACAGTGCTCTCTGCACGTTTGCATTATAAACTTCTGCTCAAAACAGCATGTTAAAGCAGGAAATTAGCATTTCCTTTCTGTCTGGGGAATGCAGTGGTACAAAAGCTGCTAAATGCTGCAGGTGAGCACTTGGTGTTCATTCTGTCTGATCTCCCACACCAGTGAGCATAGGCTGAAATGACTGGCATATGATCAGGCTTCCTAAGACCTTTCCTTTTCATTAATATTTCTTGTGCCATTACTTGCCCAAATTTTTCACTTTTTCATTACTATGAATGCATTTGGCGAATTTTGTTTTGTTTTAACCAAGAACAGAAGACACCTGCAGCTGAGTTAACTTCTAGTGAGCCAAGTTGTGCATACTTCTTTAGCCTAGTGAAACTCCAGGTTCTGAACTTTCTAACATAAAAAAATATTTGCTTTTTTAAGTTTGGTGTTTATCTTTCTGAGTATGAGGCTTCTGCTTTGCTGTAACTGGTAACATTGAAACACATTTCTTTATTACTTTGCATTCTCACTGTAGGAACTATAGAAATACTAGATAATGTTCTGTCTGTGAAATAAATATAGATGGGAACCAGCTAATAATCACTTAAATGGCACTAAGTTGTTTTTTTCAGATTAAAAAGGTAGCTAGTATTCCTCAGTTTATTGGCATTTCCTTTAACAGTGTTGTCATCCAAATAAAACCAAGAAGAAAGAATCTAAAATTTTCAGAGGTGAATCAGTGCAGAGCATATGTCACAGCTCATACTCCACCAGACTGGAAATGGAGTAAGGGATAGGGAATCAGGAATTCCTTGCTTCCTACCTGGCATATTGCAGTTAATAGAAACAAAAGGACATCTTCAATTATCTTCCTTTCATTGTATTACATTCTTATTGCAGCTCTTCACTGTGGTAGTAATTAAAATTAATTTAAGAAATTTCCAGTTGATAAGCTGTTTTTATTATTGTTTTGAAGCCAGTTAGTCTTTTCTAATATTCTTTCTTACTTTGAGCTTGCTTCAACAGAACAGGCCTTTTAAATCAGTTATTTCCAAGACTCTTAAATGTGTAATTTTTTCCTTTTATGCAAACCCAAGATGTTTCTGTTCTTGCTTGATATTTTCTCAAGTGTCCAGGAGCAGTTATTTGATAAGGAAACTGCAGAATTATTAAACACAATATCCTCAAAATCTAACTGTGAACAAAATATATACTAATATAATATAATTTTTGTCTATTAGCCCAATGGTGGTGTCCCCCATGACAATCTTGTTATGATCAGAATGAAACCAGATGAAAACGGAAGGTTTGGCTTCAATGTAAAGGTAACAGTACATCTATTCCTTTTACGTTTATTAAGGTTATTTTCTGACATTTGGGATTTCTTACTAATTTAATTTGTTTTTAAAGGGTGGATATGATCAGAAGATGCCGGTAATAGTGTCCAGGGTAGCTCCAGGAACACCTGTAAGTTATCAAAAAAGCAGACTTGGTAGCAATATCTGTGTATCTTGAAGTAGGCAGTGAAAATGATAAATTATTTTCTAGCTGCCTATGAAAATTAGGTTTTGCTATAGCATTATCAGAATAAAGCAAATTACATGCAGTAAGAATTTGATGGGGCTGTATAAGATATTTTTTAAAGTTCTTCAATCCTCAAAAGTATTTTTTTCCTGCTGAAACAAAGTTTAATTTCTGAAAATTACAAGGCGTTACAGATGCTCAGTATGCACTGGTACTTGAGCTGTGCCATCCTAAAAATACTTCTACTTTATTGCTTTTTTTAGATATAGACATTCAGTAATTTCACATAAATTACATATTGAAAGAGTGTTAAAAATAACTAAAATAGCAAATGTCTTACTTCAGTGGCAGATGTAGCTGAGTAAAGCCAACATGTAGATTAAAACCAGACATTATGAATCATTCATCAGGTCTGATTGTGTGTTGTTAGTGATGTTTAGTGACTATAAGAGTGTCTTCAAACTAGGCACAATATTTGTTAATTTATTGCCAGAAATACTGACCTGGTATTCAGCTGACTGGAGTCAGTTCTGTCAATAGGTGTTAGAGTGGAGTTAACCATTTATTTTGGTGTTTTTTACTCTTTGAAAGTATTGAAATTTTTGCTGAAATCATTCTTCATGTATCTTGTTAATTATTATCCCTGAAATATTTAATAATGTGAATAGTTTTGGCTTTAAACATTCACTCTGTAGGGAGAAGATAGTTGGTGATGGCTTGTGCTCTTTCTTTTCTGCAGTGATGTTTAGACTGTGGTTGTAATAACAACTTTTATCACCTGATTCCTCTCCCTGAGATTACTGAGAGTTGTGCATTGTTTTTTGCCATTACCATTGCAGTATTTCAGACCTGAAGCATTTAAGCCTGTGAAATTGATTTGGACACGGTTTTGCCATGTTTCTCCCCTCACTTCAAAGATAAAAACATCCTGCTTTTTAATTGCCTGTACAAAGGGTGATTCAAACAGAGGAGCTTTCTGCATCAGCTGAGGGGTAGAGTAACAGCTGCTGAAAGACACTTTACAGTGCCAGTCACCTCCCAGCTGCAAATGGGAATGGCACTGCCTGTGTATTGTGTAACTTTTGGATTTATCATTTGAATACAGTGCAGCAACCATAGCAACAGGGCTGTTAGGATTCGAGAGCCCAAGTATAGTTGCTTTAAGTTGTTATTTTAAGGTAAGAAATTGGTAATGGCTTGTGTTACAGATGGTTGTGTTTTTTTTCCCTCAACCTTGCAGGCTGATCTGTGTGTCCCCCGTTTGAACGAAGGGGACCAGGTTGTCCTGATTAATGGCAGGGACATAGCAGAGCATACCCACGACCAAGTTGTAATGTTCATTAAAGCTAGCTGTGAGAGACACTCAGGGGAACTTGTGCTCCTAGTTCGACCCAATGGTGAGTGCCTTGTACATCATAATTCAAAATAAAAATCCACACCCTGCTCTCATTTTCTAACCTCCATTTTGTGTCCTGGGATGGAATGTTTGACCTGTAAGAAATAACTCTCTTCCCTGAAAAGGAATTGCAACAACACAATGTATTGACCCCAGAATCTAAGGAACTCTGTATAACTAAGTGTTGCAAAATAATAAAACAGTCAGACATAAAATATTTCTAACAGTGAGCTAATTTAAATTTTGTTCTCACTCTAATTGATAAAAATGTCCAGAAAGCTATATGGATATTGAATGTATTTCATAAGGTTATTATTATGCTCTTAAGGAAAATTTAACAAAAAACCCCTCACCAAATACTCAGTGTTTGGGTGACATGGGAGGTCAATACATACAAAATCCTTCCATATATTTTTCAAACAATCCAAAACCACTAGTAACATTTCTACTTGAGGAGTCTTAGTAGAAGTGCTAAATTGCAGTCTAAATAAAAGCTTGTGCTGTGTATTCACAAAATACACTGTTGGATCATAGCCAGCAGATGGGCACTGGATTTAATTCTGCTGCACCTCCTAACTACTGTGAAGTTGGAGAGGAAAAAGCAAAATGAAAAATATTGGTGCATAATTGGAATAATTTAAATTACTTTTGCAGAGTACCTCATCCACTTCATAAAAATTTTTGCCTTATTCCCTAATTTGCATTCCCCACTTACATGTGCTGTCATTCCGTGTGTAAGTTCTCTTGCAGCTTTTGTGTGCTTACTTTCTTTTCAGACAAAATTATGAGCTTTGTTTGCACATTTTCTAAAACAAACTATCTTTCCCCTTGCATATTGATTACCTTTGTATTCTAGGAAAAATCATGTGAGTTGTAGAAGTGAGGAGTTGCCGGTTTCCTTCTTTGTAGTGATGTAAAATAATTTAAAAACAGGCTTTTGAACAGCATATGTCTGTTATGTGTAGCAGAGGATGCATATTATTTCTGAGCTTACAGGTAAGGCACACATAAAGCATTGATACCTTTATAATGCCATGTATTAAATGCAATTTTCTCAGGTGGTCTGCACATCTTGCCCTAATTACTGAAGCCTAAAATGAATTCTAAGTGAATTGCAAGTAAAATGTAAATGCAGCTGTAATGATATCAAAGGCATGATATGAGAATCTGAGATTTGAGAGTTATGTCAGAAAAGGCAGGGTATAATGTGAGTTTTGATCAAAATTTTACCTGTCAGTGATGGGCTTTCACTTAAAATTACTATTACACCAAAGAAAAAAATAGTTTTATCATGGATTATAATGATCAGTAAAGGCTCCCTGTCCTTGCTGATGGGGACTAAAATCAATGTGCTAATAAGTGTGGATTTTGGAGAAATGTGGTGGTTTTGCTATTTTAAATAAATTACTTACAGCCAGCTTTAGTCAAACAGCTTTTTCAGAGCATTCATACATTTTCTTGTTCTAGCTGTCTACGATGTTGTGGAAGAGAAGCTGGAGAGTGAGCCTGATTTTCAGTACATCCCTGAGAAATCTCCACTTGATGGTGTCCATCAGGATGACAATGCTCTGAGGGAATCCATGATTCAGTTAGCACAGGGGCTTATCACTGGAACTGTCCTGGCTCAGTTTGATGTGAGTACCGGATCGCCTGGAGCCGGGGGCAAGTTCCACGTCTTTTGGGAGAGCAATTATTTTAAACTAAGCACATTACAGTTAAATTTCAGTACAGTCAGCATCCTTTAGGAAAACAATTGTCTTACATTCTCAAAAGAAAAATAACCAAGGAAAAAATCAATCCTGTATTGTATGTGCAAATTAAGAATACCTAACCCTAGGTTTTATTTTTATAAATAGCTTTATTGATTACTTACACTTTTTGTGGTTATCAGGGACATGCTAATAAAATACTTTCATAAAGATGAGGGTTGAAGAATGTCTACCAAAATATGCGTCCTGTACTCAAGCCTTCATTCCTTCCTAAGTTGCTGTAGAAACTGAATAACAATGAGCTGTTGACATTCTATAGGCATTTTTGGTGAGGGAAGGTAAAATAACCAATGGAAAATACTGCCCTAATGTTAAAGGCTAATGTAACTGTGTATTTTATAAATAGTTGATTTTTATTGACATATTTCAGAACAGTAGTGCATTTTCTGTGGGGCATTAAGCTGCTGATGGCCATGGTGTTTCTTCAGCAGTGACTTGTGCCTTGGTGATATCCCTCTAAAATGCATGAGATCAGGTGGCTTAAAGCAGGAAACAGTAGGTTTGTAAAACACAGCAGTGCAAATCCTGTGAATTCCTCACCAAATGGAGACCTAGCATTGTACTTTGCAACGTATATCTATAAAATACATTTTATATACTGTTCTTTAAGAACTTTGGTAAAATTTTCTTTTATACTTAGAAAGAGCAGATTTTTTTTCTAAGTTATTTAAAATTCTGCTTTAATATAAGTTTTATTCTCCCAAGCAGGTTCAATGTGTAAAAGTTTTTTAAGTTGCTTTTTTTGAACCTGGATCATTTTGCTGATATTTTTTGTAGCACAAGGGTTGTTGCAATGCATGACTGAGGCATAAAAGGGCAGGAACCTCTCAAAGGCAATTTTGTGCTGAAAAAGTGCAAGGTAACCAGGATTGGCTCTACAGTGTTTGGAATACAGAAGGATGTCTGGGGACAAAACCAAAAATTCTAACTGAAAGAAGTGCAACATAGGTAGATGCCTATACACAACATAATCTGCTTGCCCCAAATGAGCAAGTGGGATGTCAGTATCAATGAATTCACTTACCACTATACAATACTACTTTTTATCTGGATCAGTGTTCTAGTGAAAGCTTGAAATTTAATGTCCATTTTCTTTAAACAAATTTTGGCTACATCTTGGTCATTTTCAGTGATCCCAGAGCATAACTAAATTTATAGTGCTTTATTTTTAAAAGTATTTTCATGTTTGTTGAAGCTACTGTTGCTCCATAGTTTATGTTCTAAAAAGCATCTCTTTTTAGAAGAAATTATATTTAGGCAAATAATATAGTCTATTGTATCTATTATGTTCTGACCATCAGCTTTGTCTTTTAGCAATTGTATAGGAAAAAGCCTGGAATGACAATGTCTTGTGCCAGATTACCTCAAAACATTTCCAAAAATAGATACAGAGACATTTCGCCTTGTAAGTATTGCTATGTGTATATGTGCTCTGAAAGTATTTTCCTGTGGTTACTAAATAACTAACATCTTCCTAAAATTTTTTTCAGATGATGCTACACGGGTTATTTTAAAAAGTAATGAAGATTACATCAATGCAAATTATATAAATGTGAGTAGTATTTTTCAGAAGTGCTTCTGACATTTGGTAATTCTACAGTTTCTCGATGAAAAAAAATTGATATAAAAATCTTTTTTTTTATAAATCTAGTTCAGACTAGAATGGCTACTAAGCCTCTAGTCAGGTGATTTGAAATTTCCTGTAGATATATTTCCTTCCTAATGTTTTGTGGCACATGTTTTCAGAAATGTTGAAGTCTAGCCCTGCATTTAATGTGAAAAAATGCAAACTGAAACCAGCCATCTCCAGAGCAATTAATTCTTCTTTTCTGATTACTTTTCTGACAGTTGTGTTCAACAACAGTAAAGTTTCATTTGGCATCAGTTTCTTTTGCATCTTATTTTTTTCATGGTTAGTAACAGAAAATTACAGCTACCTACTTTAATGAAAAAACCCCAGATATTAAATTCTGAGATCTGTGTTTTAAAAGCCAGTGTCAAAAACCCATAGAGCAAGAAATATTTGCACCTGAATTATTTGCCAACTGCTCTGTCATTTATTTTTTCACCCATTAATCTTCATTATGGCAACTACATGACTGTCAGTTCATATGTAAAGTGTATTTGAATCTTTGCAGTGATTTTGCATGTGAGACACTCAAAGAATTTTTATCTGTGCCAATTCGTATTTGCTAGCCTTTAAGAAATAGAATTAATGTCATGGATGCTTTTTAAAAAATTAGTTACTAAACTGTAAATGTCTGATGCCTGACTTTCATTTCCTGTAGAAATTGAAATAATGACTTTGTCTTCTCATAGATGGAAATCCCTTCTTCCACAATAATAAACCAGTACATTGCTTGCCAAGGTCCATTACCGAACACTTGTCCTGATTTTTGGCAGATGACTTGGGAGCAAGGCTCTTCTATGGTTGTGATGTTAACAACTCAAGTAGAACGGGGCAGAGTAAGTAAAACATTTCCTTAAATGCCACTGCCATAATCTTCTAAAAAACTATTAGTGATTAGCCTTTAAAAGATTAGAGGAATATATTGTGATGGTGTAAAATATGTCAAGGGGATAGGAAGATGTGGTTTTAAACTAGAAAAGTGTAGGTAGAGTAGGTATAAGGAAGAAATTTTTACAATGTGAGTGGTGAAATACTGGCACAAGTTGCTCAGAGGTGGTGAATGTCAATCTCTGGAAACATTGAAGGTCATGTTGGATGGAGCTCAGAGCAACTCAGTCTAGTTGGAGAGGTCCCTGCTTGTTGCAGGGGGCTGGACTGGATGGTCTTTAAAGGTCCATTCCAGTCAGAACTGTTCTATCATTCTGTAACTGTTTTTCATAAGAGCAGTGCATTCCTAGTTGAGTCTTAGATTTTAGACCTTCTGGTGTTGTTAATACAGTCAATAGTTAAACTTTGCTCCGTGCTGAAATGCACTTAACTCTTCATGTATTTCCTCAAATACTCTGTCTACTTTGTTTGCTTCCTTATTGTAAAGTAAAAAGCATCTAGAATTCAGCTTCGTAGAACTTTTTTACTCTAAACTTCAAATTAAGGAGCTCCAAGAAGTTCCTTCAGTTTTCATAGAGTACTTGTTTGATATGTAGTGAGATTAATTTTTAAGGCAGCCTAATCCAACTTTGTAGCGTTAATATCCCATGCCTGGATGGCTGTCTTATCAAGGATTTTCTTAAAACTTGAACTCTAAAATTTCCCATAAAATGTTATTCTGTTATAAAGATTTGTTTAATCACGTAAAATAATAATTGCCCTTTAATTTTATATAAGATGTGTTAAAATAGAATACCAGTAATAGAGTAATTAAGAGTTACAATTAGTAAAAATAATTGTGTATGGTACTATAAAAGGCCTCAGGTGTATTTTGTGGCTTGTTTGGTTTTGGTTTAAGCTGTAGTTTCTCCTTAATAGCTTTGAATTTCATGCAGTTTTATCCTTTGGAGATAGGCAAATCAATGTGGTCATACACACAGTGTAATTCCAGAGTTACTTGCTTTAGTCTGGAGCATTCACAGTAGCACTGGCTGGTTAAGTGTGTAGACAGAAATTACTGTCTGCAATAATAGTGTAGTGGAATTCCTCCATATCAGGATTTCTTGTGAAGATGGATTTATAGTGGGTTGTGGCTGTACTGACCAACTTGGACTGTAGTTCTGCTGCCTGTATATATTCTGATTTTTTAACAACTATATACTTGCTGTGAGGTCAGGACTCTAAATAGAATTAAAATAATTGAAGGGAAGTTGCAGTGGTTTTAAACCATTTTTCAGTGACTCAATGTTTGCATGATGCTGCCTGCTCCTAAGTAAACACAATTAGAGGGAATTTCAGTACAAGTGCCCTTTTACTTTGAGTTTTCTTTGCAGATCTGCTAAGAACAGACTTGCAATAGCAGTTCTCTGAGGTTCCCCCACCCCTTCAATAATGATATTTGTGGAGTTCTTTGGAGAGCTGCTTAATAATGAAATAAAAGGACTTATCTGTCTTATACCCATAGGCAGACTCCCTGCTCTAAAGCTGATCATGAGGCTTCTGACATCACTATCCCACTGCATGCCGGGATGTCTCAGTGGAGCAGGAAGTCTGCAAATCTGGCTGCTCTTAAAGATTCGCCAGGTGGGTTGCAAATGCAAAAGTACACTTGAGCTGAAATGACCTCTGTAATTAGGCATTCAAGCCATATATCAGAAAACCATAGTGTTTGAAGTTTTCATTCACATTTGAGGACTTGATTGGGAGTCCTTGAAGTCCACCATATTCATCTCCCTGTTTTCTACATTAGCTTAGCAACTTTTTGTTGCATATTTCCCTTTTTTTTTTTTTTTTTTTTGTTCTTTTCCCATATAAATGTACTTTGGGAAGATCAGATTAGGGTTTTGGAAGTCAGAAATTATTATGAAGCAGCATCTTTTTCACTCAAGTGTTAAGATGGAATATTTATAGATAAACTCTTTAAAAAATTGTAATGGAGGTTAAAGGCATTCATCTTCAGTTAAACTAACTGCAAATGCTGGTGCATGTGTCCTTTTGGAAAGAGAAACAGGAAATCTCTGTGATACCTTATTTTATAAACAGTAATTAGGTTACAGAGTCTATTTGGTAAGTAATTAAATAGTGATTACAAAATTATCTAAATAATCTGTAACAAATAAAGGTATAAGAACTAGAGAAAATGAAAATTATACCCCGAATTTAAACACAGGCATCTTTAAAAATGTGTTGACCTTAGGTTAAATGCCATCAGTACTGGCCAGAGCCATCAGGAAGCTCATCATATGGGAATTTTCAGATTACCTGCCATTCAGAAGAAGGAAATCCTGCTTATGTCTTTCGAGAAATGACATTGACTAATCTGGAGGTAAAATCTTAATATATTTTCAAGTGTTAATCTGCAGAATTCTGGGAAACGACCCATAACATACGTAGATTTTCTACTTGGTGGCATATCCATGTAAATGGAACTGTTTGTTTCTAGAACCCTCTAGAAAACTACTCATTGACATGTGCTTTCCTAGGGGAAATTCTGTCCACAGAATGATAACAAACCTTTCATAAGTGAAAATATCACACAGATTCATTTTTCATAATCATATTAATTGGATCACATGAAGGATATATTATTTATCCTAAAAGTTTTTATTGGTGTCTCTCATAACCTGGCCAAAGAAAAAGAGTAGTAAAAGAAGTTGAGAAACTTGTTGTTCCCTTGATGTTTTCAGAACTTGAGACATTAGAGGTGTTTCATCATCACACTGATGGTGATGAAAAGTCTTTGTGGCAAATAGTTCTTAATAATTCCATCTCGAACAATATGTGCAAGATGATGGAAGAGAAATCCTGCTGAAAAATTAATCTGGAGTGGTGACTACATTTAAACAAGGACCTTTTTGAACATGCATTGCATGATTTTCAGGGCATGTGTTTCAGAGCCTCCCCAGCCAGCATTTCAGTGTCAAATGTTTGGAAATGAGTATCTGGAATTTAGTTCACATACTTATTTCTCGCTTCTTGAGTTACCAGTTGAGAAGCCAGTTTTATAGAGCTGCCTTTTCGTCAATTTGCAGTTAAAATTCCTGCCCTGTGTCCTGTTGAGACAATTGCTCATCTGCTATCAGCCGTGGAATCTCTGTAAATGATTCAGTGCCTAAAGGCTATTTAAAGTGCAGTAGCTCCTCTGCTTTTGGAATTCGACTCTGCTTGCCCGGGCTGTCCCCTCCCCTCACCAGAGGCCGATTGATTTTATTTGTGATACCAGAGCAAGGGCCGGGAGGGAGTGGAAACCAAAGTCATTGCGCCTTGTAGGTATAAGAGGATCAGATCAAGCCAAAACAGCGCTGATGCTCACACAGGGTCTGAAGGAAACCTTTTATGTCTGATCTCCCCTCCCTACCCCACTTCTGTCATTTGATCTTTTAAGATGCTATCTTGTTCTGTTAAATTTGGTATGCTAAGAATATGACCACCTTCTTGTACATCCAGTGTTCAGTTAGATTGCTGGTATCCTTGAACTGCTTTTCTATTATGTGCTCTGTAATTTTTTTCACCTGTTGAAGATGTAAGCATTTGTGGATTTCCTTTTTTACTTTTAAGAAAAAAAAAGAAAAAGTCATTGTAAAATTCAGGATGACTGATGGTTAGCACTAACAAAGCACTGCTAGTTGCCTGTAGCCACTTTGATTATGGGTACAAGTTGCTATGAATGTGCTATTTTTATTATTATTTTTGGAGCTTTTTTAAATGGGATTTGAATTACCTTTGATTAAATTTCATGTTTCTGATTAGAAAGAGGAAAGTCGCCAGCTAACCCAAATCCAGTACATAGCATGGCCTGATCATGGGGTTCCTGATGATTCCAGCGATTTCCTCGATTTCGTGTGTCTTGTGCGAAAGAAGAGGGCTGGCAGAGAAGAACCTGTTGTTGTTCACTGCAGGTATCACATTTTTTTCCAACTTTATTAAATCATCAAAGTGAACTTTTTGTCATCAGATAGCTGTTCTGTGCTTTGTTCTTGAAGTAAATATTTAATAGTATCAGCTTTGGGGATGACAAGAAAACTCAACATTGAAATAAAACAAATATTTAATGTGGCAATCACATTTCAATAAGCAAGATTTTGAATGTGTTGATCTGTTCAGGCATTTTGCTGGGATGTTTTGTTTTGTTTGCAATTTAAATGCTTGTGGTACCAGTCTACATAATAATTCAGGGAAATGGCAAGAGATACTTGGTAACCACGAGGAATAGGTTCCTGTTCTACAAAGCTCTAGAGTAGCTGTGGAAATGATCCATAGTGGAAAATGCGGATGGTTTATTAAAAGATCAATTAGAAGACATTTTCTCTCGAGTCTGCAGTCTTAGGCTATGTGGTATTTTGATACTTAGATTTAGATGAGACATTTTTCCCAACAGTTTACCTTTGTCGTGAGTTAAAATAACTGTTATTTAGATCTTTACATACACATGAAATGTGATTTTTCTTTTCCTTGTGCAGTACTTTGTTAATAGCATTGTCCATTCCTGTATCTTAATATTTTTTAAATACTTGATTAGCAAACTTGAATAATACCAGTTGTTTTCAAATGAACATGTGCTACCACAATTCTTGGGGAACAGTTCTGTGAATAATATTTGACCTCTCAATTCTGAATACTCCCAGAGAGTCAGTGTTCCTGAGTCAGGCATCTGTAGTTCTTTTCAGAGAGAAGCTGAGAAATGTAAGGGATGAAATAAATTTAAAGACTACAAGTAAACTAGACATTTATTGAAGGAGATGAAAGAAAAAGAAAAATACACCTTGTGTATCATAAATTTTATTTCATTAGTTCTGTTTTATGCAGGTCAGGGTGAATCTTACTAACTAGGGAAACTAGTTATGTTTGTTATGACACCAGAATGCCAGTGTCTTAACTGATACTGCTTCTCAGCTGCCATTATTGATATACTTTTGGTTAATAAGGTTGTCAAAAGATGGTGAAAATGGCAGCCAAATACACCCTCTATGATAGAAACAGTGCAGAAACACTGGAACAACAACATTGGAGAGGAGGACCAGTTTCATTCGGCGCAAGTTCAGCTCCAAACTGATAATTTCAGTGTGTAATTGAAGCTTTATGAAAAAATTATGTTTCACAGAAGAAAAGAGATGGATGATCACAGTTGAGCATAATTTACTTAATTGGCCCAACTTGGTGGCTGTTGGGAAGTATAACCAAATTCCAGTAAGGAGTCAAGCAGAAGGAGCCCAGGTGTTCCTCCATATGGTGCATGCACTCTATTTTTAACATCTCTTCAGTGTAATAAAATTTGTTTTCAGGACTAAGCCACCAACTTTAGTGTGAGGAATCCAAGTAGCTAATAGAAAATTATTTTATTTTGTATAATAATAATAATAATTTAAAAACAAAATGGTCCAAACCCACAGAGATTATAAGGAGTTGGAAAGGTTTTTGTTATACTGAGCTGCATAAACCACTAGTTTCTGATGTTGTGCCATATGGTTATTTTTATCTTTACAAGGTCTTACTAGTTTTGTTGAACAGTTTCTAATTCTTGTTCTAGATGAGATAGGAACCACCCATCCTGTCCATGCCCTTCATCATTTTCATACCCTGTCTCAGTGTTCTACTCCGTCAGTCAGTGATTTCTTTTTCTAAGCTGAAGAGTCCTATCCCACCTTATGTTTGTCATAGGAAATTATCACATTTTCCATCGTGGTTGCCCTCTGAATCTTTTGAAATTGTAAAATGAGTCATTAGGTTCTTGGCAGTTACTGTTTGTTTGTGCTCGGATTTCATAAAGCATTCTGCCTTTATGCTCTATACGTATAAATTCTAGAAATATAAATATTACTGAATCATTTTATATAACCAGCACATGTACATCTTGTCTTAAAATTCTTATGACATCATTGTAATATAGAGTAGCTTTAATGCCACCTCCTGGACAAAGATTTAAATAGTAGTTTAGCCAGACTTTAAAATCAGAACAAGTGACTTTCAAAGTTTGAAGTGTTTATATTAATCACTTTAGATCCAAATACTTTGATTTATTGTATGAGTTAGGATAATGCTGGCATTTCAAAATATGTATTTGGCCCTATATTCCAGTATAGGGAAACATTTGTTGTCTATTTCAAAAGCGCAACATTAATTGAAAAATTTGAAACTGTTCATTGAATTCAGAGTTAAATATTCAGTCTTTACGGCTTGCTACTTCTGAAAAAGCATATGTGTACATAAAACAAAGTAGGTGAGTCTTTAGATTTGTTTTATTTTTAAGGAAAAAATGTTTGTCTGTAAACTCTCTTGATCATTTTGCCATTCTGAGATGTGTATGTTATGGTACTTCCTTGTCTTGGAAGGGATTGCTCTCATGTATTCCTTTTAATAACAAGAAAACAATCCTTATTGTCACCCTACAGAGGTTTCTAGTAATTGTTCTTTTACTTGGAAATAGGAAGGTATGCATCACTTGAAGGACATGAATATGATTTTATTGGCCCAACATTCCAGAAATCATCATTTCAGCAATGGTCAAACTGACATGTGTCCAGCATACGCTGGTGTTTTGTTATCCTCTGGATGTGAGTGTGGTTTGTAATGGGCTCTTAACAGACCTCTCTGTCACTTCTGCTCAGGGGAATGGCTGGATGAGGCAGTGCCTCCTCCAAGGATGGCAGTTCTGCACTGATGGGCTTTGCTCTGTTCAGGCGGGACTGAGGCTGCTTCCAGACACAGGCACGACCAGTCCTTCCCTGCCCCAGCAGTATGGAGCCATAATGGTCCCTGAGAATCCAGGAGAAGGAAGGTCTTTAAGTATGAATTGTACTCCAGACACTTGATTTCATTTTCCACTTTGTGTTTTTGTTGCTGTTCCAGTGCTGGGATTGGCCGGACAGGGGTTCTGATCACGATGGAGACAGCCATGTGTCTCATTGAGTGCAATCAGCCTGTTTATCCTCTAGATATTGTAAGAACCATGAGAGATCAAAGAGCCATGATGATCCAAACACCTGTGAGTATCATCCCTGCTGTTCTGGGTTGCAGAACAATAATTTCCTATGATCCAGTCATACAGGATGGATTTTTAATGCACTTGTTGATCATAATGCAGAGATCACCTTTACCCAGTGTAGCTGTAGCCTTGGCTCCAGGCAAAAATAAATTCTTAAGGCTATTGAAAGGAGCAATTCTTTAAATTTCCACAGAGAAAACTTGAAAAAAAAGCAGCAGCTGTTTCAGGGATACCTGGCAAATAATGACAAAAAGAGTCAATTTTCAGCAGTATAAAAATCACTCAGAGAAGAAAGCAGGAACCTAATCCCAGGTGTTAAGAATCAGAATAGTATAAAAGATAAACACAGAAAGAACCAAGGCACGCAAGAAAAAACTTCAGTGATGAAATTCAGTGATTTTACGTTGCCTTAGTTGTAATGGAAACAAGCCTTAACTATGCCCTGTTAATGACTTAAGGGAAATTATCAGAGAAATAATATTTGTAAAAATCAATGTAATTATATCTCATGCGAGATGCATCAAAGCAATCCTAAATACCTTTTTTTTAGTCTAAAAAAAGTAACTTACTAAAGGATTCTTTTGGGGGTTTCATACCTTAAGATACCAGAACATTTCGTGCACCTGTAAGGTTTGGGTTTTGTGAGATAATTCGAGTATTATATTTCAGATTTGTAAGAGTTTTAGAACAGATTTAGAAACTTGTAATTGTATCAGTCAGGAATTGCTTATCTCTAAGAGCAGTTTGTGTTCACATTTTTAGAAAGTACCTAAAAAGGGTGAAAATGTTAGTGTTGTCTTTCAGAAAGGAAAAAAAAAATACTTGGATTTTTGGTCATTCCAAAATTTGGATAGTTCCAGGGGTTTTTTTATTTTTTTGAAAGAGTAATCATGAGTAATTGGTGTAGTTTTACTCATAGTATACAGCATTTAGAGAGACAGCATCTTGAAGGAGAAAAGGCACTAGATCGAGTATGAAATCACAATTACTTGAAGGTAGTTGCTGTTGTAATTTTCATGTCCCTGCTGCTGTTCCTCTAATAAAATTTGAATAAAACTTTTTTGTTCTTCAGAGAGTATTAAGGCTGACAGAAAGTATGTATGTGTCTCCATTTCTAGTTCGTCAGTCATTCAGTGCTGCTGAATTCATGTTCCAGAACTCATGTTTCACTAAAAAGTTGTTGTATTCAGCTGGCACAGGAAGGATGAGAAAGGTCATGATACATGAAAAATAGCAAAGGGTGGCTCTTGCTGTTTGTGACTGTTTGTTTCTTCAGTCTCTCTAACATATGTAGAGGGGGAGAAAGTGTTATTAGTGAAGGTAGGAGTTGCAGTTGCGAGGGTTCTGACTGCATTTTTTCACAGTATGCGCTCAATATAATCTTGTCTCCTCATTTTTCTTAGAAAACAAAAAAATTCAAGATTCAATGAAAAGCAGGTGTTTAGTGCATCAGAGGGAGAAGGTCTAATAAAGGAGTTGGGGTTTTTTTGAGGTTTCATGACCGTCAGCCGTTCCTGCTCCTCTCCGGCAGCCCGGGCTCGGCCCGTGTGTGCCCAGGGGCTCGCGGGGGCGCTGGGGACAAACCCCAGTGGAGAGAAATGAACTGCTTCGTATACACAGGGTAGCAAATAGTGCCTCTAGTGCTAGGTATGGTCGTGTTCCCTTGAACATCTGACATCACTAGCTGCTGCATAGAGAGCTGTTCCACAATACTGACAGTGCGGGTGTGCTGGAGTTCTAACCAGCATAGACACATCGTGCAGGATGCAGTGTGAGTTGTGGTGCTTTGCATTTATTTCAGTTTGTTTTCATTATGTTCTAATTTGATTACTGTCGGGTTTTTAACTTTCATTTGAATAAAACAAACTGTTAGTCACCTCTGTGTATGTAGGTGCTAGACTTGGATGCATTGAAGAGTTAGACATTATATAATGTTAAGAAACAGGAGGTCTGGTTTTTTAAAACATGAAACAGTTTTCTTTTAAATCAGATTCTGACAGGGATGTGCCAGTATCATGCCTGAGTTAATGCAAGTATGAAAAAGTGATTTGAAGCTATGGCTTCTAAATCCAAGAGCATGGAAACCTCAGGTCAGTGAAATTTCAGCAAGGAAATAAAGTGCAGAAAATTAATCAATAGGTGATGTTGTAATAATAATACCGGGGTTTTGAGTAAGACTTTCGGTATATATTTCAAAGTGCCATTCATCCTATTCTTCTGTTGAGAAACAAAATGTTCTCCTCTAAAGTTCCTTTTGTATTGTGTTTCCTAAACTAACTTTGAAGCACAGTTCTTGGCCTGTCAAGAGAATGGGGTGGGGAAATCTTAGAGGCCTTTTCTGTTTCCAAATGACATTTTTCAATTGCATTTCTTTTCAATTCACTGAATCTACTTTTCTTTTCAGAGTCAGTACAGATTTGTATGTGAAGCTATTTTGAAGGTGTATGAAGAAGGATTTATTAAACCTTTACAAGCATCACTGCATAAGTAAAGAGCAAAAAACCTATGATATCAATTGAGGAGTCCTGTCCTCTATAATGAACTGGCAACATTCTTTGTGCCATAATACTGCTTGCAGGAAATGATAGTGAAGTACAGCAAAGAATTGACAAAGGACTTTGAAAACTTCAGCACTGTTGCACTTTACGTTGAAACAAAATCAGTCTCTGAAACTCTTCTAACCTTCATCTGTTTGAAGACTTTATTTTCGTGATTTGCTCCGAACAGACCATAAACTGAAAGAACTGATTGTGTTCAGGGTGATCTACGATATTTCATTGTAGTGCCATATACTGCGCTTCTGGTTGAATTGCTACAAACAAGGCTTGGAATTATTTCACTCTGTTTTACACCCATGTCTCTTAAAATGAAAAACAAATGAAAACATACACTAAGCCATGGTCTTTTTCCAGTGCTAGGTTTATTTACTATGTACAGACTCTCACAGTTTTGTTTTTTACAACATTAGCAATATTGCCAATACTAGATAGATACACACTGCCTACTGATGCAGCACACTTTGTCCTACACCCTTACTAGAGACCAGCTGGTTGTTAGAGGAGAGCTGGCATCTGTTAACCCAGCAGTAGCTGCATAATGCCCACTTACCAGCATCTTGTACAAAATAATAACAATAAAAATTTTACAAAACCAACATATAAGTAAACAGCATTTATTTGGCACAGCTTGTGTGTCATACACTGGTGTATTCTGATTTGTGTGACTTCAGATTATTTGATGGGAACTAGTGCATGCATTATGTCTTAACCCCTTAAGTGCCTTGAGACTTACAGCATACATCCAGTTAAAGGCACTCATGATTCCATGGGGGTGGTATTGTCCTGTCATATTTATCCTAATGGGTTCAGATTTTTAAAATGGCCCTTGGTGCTTGGAATATGTTACCACAAGGGGTCATGGAAATACCATTCCCTCTTTAGTTATACAAGTACCTGTGTGCTACTCTCTGTAGCAAAGGCACCTCTGCCAACTTGATGAATGAGCATTGTACGCTGCTGTGCTGTAATTATATCAAAAATCTGACACATTCCTTCATTCCTTCCAACTAGTAACTTACTAGCATCTTGCTACAAAATGCTGGTGGGTCATTAGAGGCTGATACCTTGTTTTATCCTTTTATTGAGAATAGCTGTTTTACTCGATTAGACATAACTCTTTAACAGCACTGATAATTAAGTTGAACTTACAATCAGATGTGATTTAATTCCATTACCTTCTAACTAACTTGTTAAGTCCTCATAGCTGATTTCAAGCCATGTTCGTACAGGTCTGCCTTTTATTTTTTTTCTTTGGAGGGGAGAAGGGAGGAGAACACTATGAAGTTATCCCAGAACTTAATTTTAATTTCATAATGACCCCAGTCGCCTTCTGTTATGCTTGTGCAAAATTGTTCCAGTTGGTATGGGTTGCTTCTTATTTAAGTAGGTAGAAGATTTATAAGAAATGTCTGTCTGATACAGTATCTGAGCTCATTCTAAAGATGCATAAGTGTCCCCATTTTTAAATATTTTTCTAATATAGGAGAAACCAAGTCAGAAGCAAGGTACCCAGTGTAATATACTGTAAGAAAAAACCAGTCACTTATTTGACTGCCCTGTGACGGCATAACATTGTGCCCTCTATTTAAAAGTTTTAATTTATTGTATTGGTTTCCTGAAAATGTTTATCCATTAAATTTTGTTGTAAGCTATATATATGTATAGCAGAGAATTAAAATGGAAAGTTCTATGCTAAATAATTTTTAACTATTGAAGAATTATATTGTATAATATACTTTGTTCTATGGACATTTGAAACAGATCAATTATAAACTATTAAATGAAAAGGGATTCAGGCAACGTGAAATCCTGGCTTATGACTTAGTAATGAACAAGAACTACAATGCCAAATGGAAGACAGAGTTTTAAATATTTTTAGAAAACAAAATAATATTAGGAGGGCTGTGGCCCTGTCACTTATATTTCTAGATTTGATGTTGAAGTCAATGTTATCCCTCAGTGAAAAATAAATTTTACAAGAATCTCTGGATCTGAACTGAACTGAAAAAGAGTAACATGGTAGCTTTAATCTCAGTTATATTTTAAGCCATTTGCAGCAAATAAAAATTCTTTTTTATAATTCTTTAACTTCCATATGATGAGGTCATTAGCTGAGTTGCTGGCTAGTTAGAAGGTTATATTGAACTCAGCATTTAATGTCCAAACAATAAAATAATTCATCCATTATACTGAAAGAAATTTTCTTCATAGTTAGGTTGTAAACAAAAATAGCATTTGCCCTGTTATTCTGAGGGAAATCAGAAATGGAATTTATGCAGCATTATATAGCATTGGTATGTCACATATTTAAATATTCTTATGTAAAATTGCCATAGCAGTTCGAGCTCAAAAGTCCCATTTATACCACAATTACATGTGGGATATGTATTGGTCATGTGTCATTACTGTTTTGATTACAAACACAGGCAAGACTAATAGGTCTCTTCAAAATTTTCCTCTGCACTGACTTGTAGTTTATTAACTGGCTGCACTGGGGAAAAAATTGAAACAAAGTACCTATCGTTAATTAATTGGCCATCAGCAACTCAGTGGCTTTTGGCTCCTCCAAAGCCAGGATAAAGGTAACCAAAAACTGCTTGGGAAAGAGAACAGCACTGAAGCCTTTCTGCACCATAAATCAGTAATTTAAATTTTTCTACCTATTGTGGTATAAATGGCCTTTAAAATATTTTTATATGGCCAAAAAAAGCAAAACTGCTTAATATTTTACTTTGGGTTATGAAGATCTGTATCATCCTTAAGAGTTTTTTAAAGAAGTTTTTGTATGTTTCATGCTGTACAAAACATGAATGTATCTTTCAGACATAATGACTTATAGACCTATATGTGATTGGTGTTATGACTGTTGGATTTTATGAATAATTATTTTCATACCATTTGATTAGGAAAAATGTTGGGTGGGTGTGGGAAAGAGTATGTTTCTAACACTTCCATAATACAAATCCAGTTAAAAGGAAAAAAAAAAAAAGTAGTTTTCATTGTAAATAAGAGCAATATTATGACAAATTTGTGCCAATGTAAAATGTTAAGATTTTTGTTTTTACTTTTAGATTCAGATTGAAAACTACCACTACCATCTCTTGTTTAAAATGGATTTGAAGGGGGTTTTTTTAGTAGAAAGGCATGGGGCTCTAGTGGGGGCTTTGAGTGGTATTTTGGGAGCATTTTTTATTTTTGCTAAATGTGAAATAAGATACAGGTATTGTTTAATAAACCACCTACAGACTGTCAGCCAGTCCACTTTGAGATATATTGCATTAGATATCCCAGGTAACTGAGGGCTGAAAATTTCATTTAACCTGAATTTGGAAGCATTTGGTATTTTCAATCACTTATAGGTCTTAAGCAGTAAAATACTGCTTTATGCATTTTATTTTTATCTATTCTCTCCCAGTTATGAAAAAGAGAATGCCTGGGGCTTGTTCTCACTAGTTTTAATGCTAACTGACATTTCTTCCACGTTTCTCTGTTAAATCTCAAAAGCTTATATGCCATATAGATAAAGCAATAACACTTCTTCTAGAATATCTGATTACAGTCTGGCACACCATCTAGTAAAGAAAGGGTGAGAAAGCAGTTGGGACATTAAGGAACATGAGGAGGTTGTTATGGAACTTGTGAAGCTGGCAACTTTCCGTGAAGACCTTCCAAAAAGCTTCATGGTACCTGTGGAAGGGCCAAAATGCAGCAGATGTTCTGCAGTTGTGCTGCCCAGGGAAACAGGACTGAGGGAAGGTCTGGCATAGAGATGTTGGAGCTCCAAGTGTGCTGTGGAGCTGAATTATGTGATATTTTTATGCTTATGCAGTGTGTGCAGGTACGTGGGCGATGTTTGGTGGCTCAGGGAATTAGCATGAGCATGAAAAGCTCTACAGATCCACCAATTTCCCAGCAAAAGAAGGTTGTCCGGTACATATGCTGTAGGTTTGACTGTAGAGCACTGTGCAGGCAATCAGCAAGCCCCTCAGCCCTGAGGATAACAGGAGTGATTTGGTTATGGTCCACATGAAAATTTTGCATATCTGGACTTCCTCCAAGTAGAGGAACGGTGTCCTCTAATATCAGCTGCAGTCTTTTTGTAGCTCACATCTCAGGTCCCCAGTTGGCTGGTTTGGGTGTATTTGCCAACTTTAGTGTACCCATCTTTTGTCTTGAGACTGAAAAAGTCCTTTCCTGTTGCTACTTCTAGTGTTAGGATCCAGTATTAAGATCTGGTAAAAGCATATTAATTGATTAACTGTGGATCTTGCACGAATATGCAGGGATTTAAAATTAGTGGTGATTGGGAAGCTGTTAGAAGGAGGAAGTGGTTGGTTTCTTTCAGTGTAACTGTTCTGTCCAGTCTCTGTTATCCCACTGCACTTAGTCACTTGTTTGTTTAGAAGTCTGCAAAGAAGGCCAGTTCCTTATCACTGGATTTTACCTCTGTGCTTGTTGTTCCCACAAGTGTCTATCTTTTCATAGGGCTTATCCTGCTACAAGTTTTTATCTGGTGCATAAGCTGTAAATTCTGGCTATTGGCTTTGGCATGTTTTGCTCATTGAGATCACAATGGTAAAAAGTAATTAGTGGTGATTGGGAAGCTATATGTTAGAAGGAGGAAGTGGTTGGTTTCTTTCAGTGTAACTGTTCTGTCCAGTCTCTGTTATCCCACTGCACTTAGTCACTTGTTTGTTTAGAAGTCTGCAAAGAAGGCCAGTTCCTTATCACTGGATTTTACCTCTGTGCTTGTTATTCCCACAAGTGTCTATCTTTTCGTAGGGCTTATCCTGCTACAAGTTTTTATCTGGTGCATAAGCTGTAAATTCTGGCTATTGGCTTTGGCATGTTTTGCTCATTGAGATCACAATGGTAAAAAGGAGGGATTCATGACTTTCTTTTAAAAAATGCTGAAATATTCAATTTTTAAAATGTAGACGTTTTGATTAGTAGCCTCATTTTAAAAAGCCACTAAAGTATCTCATTCTAGTCTGCTGTAGCAAGAACAGTGGTTCATGGACTGGCTGGCAGCTTGTTGGTTGTGGTATTTCATATTTAGCAAGCTTACACATATTAAAGGATAATTTTTTTCAAAGTGTTTTCATGTTTGAATAGTAGCACTTTATGTCATGCTTACTACTGACTGAACTATTGGACAAAATAAATTGGGTTTGGAGAGAGATGCTTAATGGGTTTCTGTACAGAGATGATTCGGATTGCACCCTGGTACGAATGCTTTCTGTTGTTCCAACCATTTCTTGTTGATTGTTTATGTTTTTCTGAGGGATTTTCAGAAAATATATATTAATAAGATAATTCTATCATCTCAATTTACCTGTCTTAATACAAATATGAAGCCTGCATTTGGAAAAAAAAAAAAAAAACACAAAAAAAGGAAAAAAAAAGGTGCAAATAGAAACTTACAGGGTACTTGTAAATTTATGTGTTCTCTCTCAGCTAGCTGCAAATTAGCTATGTTTACTGTAAATGTTTCTGCTAAGCATTATTTTTAACATTAGATCAATTACCTGGAAATCAGTATTCTTTTTTTTTTTTTTTACTTAACTTATTTGAATTTTGATAATTAAAGATAATGCACAACAAAGTTTAAGGAAGTTGTCACCCTTTTGCACCTAGGCCAGGGGCCTGAGACATGAGTGAAAGGGTTAAACAGTTTATGTTAAGCTGTTTTGTTCTTTAACTAGAATATATCCACAAGGACTAGATTATAAATGATCCAGTGCAATTATCTCAGTGTATTGGGGCACCACAGTAACAACCCATAATAATCTTACAGGAAAATTAAGGTAAGAGAGTGAAGGTTTTATCTCATCCAGTGTAGCCAGATTTGTTTTCCATTTGGTTTGCTTCATTTACCAGTGATCCCATTTTAACCAGTCAGTTTGGCAGGGCTGGTTGTGTAAGCTTTGGGGTTTTTTTCTGTAACAGGTGCTATACTATGTGTAAATACAAAGGGAAGAGTATTATTTCGATCATTATTAACAATCAGATGGTGGCAATATTTTTGCCAGTTACTTCTGGTAATTAATTTGCATTTCCAGCTGTAGATTTCAGTTGTCAAATTTCATCTCAGTTTCGTACTGCTGAATGATGGACTGCAAGTGTGGAGTAAATCATCTCAGAGTTCAACAGCTCTTGCATTGTTTAGACTAACTCTTGTGTATCTTTATTAATACTGGGGGGATGCAAAGGCTCTTCCCATAAGTAGACTTCTGCCTATAAATTTGTTTAAAAGCACATGAGGGGGAGGGAAAAAACAAACCAACACCCTAAAAGCACCATCCTGGCTAAGCAGCCAGGGTGGTTGATGGAAAACGATGGAAACTTGAAACTGGTCAACACTGGACAATGTGAAAATAAATTCAGCTTTTGTCACTGCAGCTACTGTATGCTTTAAAGGGCCTTATGTATTTGTCCTCATTTTGATAAAATTCTTGCCATTAAAATTATACACTAACTTCTACCGAAAACCAGCAGTTCCCAGGATAAATATGCTAATTAACATTTAACAAGTCTTGTTTTAGTCTTAAGTAAAATTTCATTCTATTATGTGAAAAAATGCTGTTATGCATATTTTGTGGATATATTTAATTTCAGTTGACAAATAGTTGTCTAGGTACAGACTTGAAAATATATATATAGTTTACTTGTGGATCTTAATTGTTTAATTGCAAAATAAAGATGTGCTTTAGTAATTTGAAGTTTAATTTTTTTTGCGATTTTCTTGCTACTGTACACACAGTTTTGCTGTGCCATATTTATATGTGTCTGGTGCCAGATAATGTTTGCCTTGTATTTTCCTTCTTGACATTGTATGACATAAATACACCCCTATGGATTGTGCGTTAGAAGAGGTTGCAGATTATCAGGAATTAAGTTGTTTCGTTAAAGCATCAGCCCAAGTTTTTGCCTGAAAATATATAAATACTGCAAGATTTGCTTTAATGGAATAATAACTTTTAAATTACCTTTTATGCAGTGAGTGTATAGGAGATAGTGTTCAGTAGAGATGATAATATGATCAAAAAGCTGAGGATATGATGAACACTGATGTGAACAACAAAAATTCCAGATTGAAGATTGTAATTAAATATTTGCTGTCTAAAAGTGAGGGGATGTTCAAAACAAAAGCAGGTAAAGATAATGAAAGGATTTAGGAGTCAAGACAAAAATCTCAGGAGGGATGAGTGTCTGAGACCCCTGTATGCTCTTAATTCCACTGACAAATGCAAGACAAGTGAGGACAGGGTGTTTGGATTTAAAGTACAAAATATAAACAAGTGGGAAAGCACTTTAAGGAGAAAAACAGATGTAAGAAGAGTCTTTTCAATAGGCATTCTTAATTCCACTGACAAATGCAAGACTTTAAAGTGAGGACAGGGTGTTTGGATTTGAAGTACAAAAATATAAACAAGTGGGAAAGCACTTTAAGGAGAAAAACAGATGTAAGAAGAGGCTTTTCAATAGGAGGAGATTTGTTTAAACTGGAATAGGAGGACTGGATATAAGACAAGTGACAGGTTACACAGTTGAATGTGTACTGTGCATACTTGGACTGTATCTGAGTAGCAAATAGCGAGGCAGGAGTAGACTGTAATTACAGGAAGAGTAGCAAGAGGGTGGTGTGAAGCAGAAATTGTAAAAATGAGCAACTAAGTTTTTGTGTCACTGAAGCTACAGGAAGGACATAATCTTTGTGCCAGCATGGGAGCTTGTGAATGACTGAGTGGAAGGAAGCTCAATTTGAGGAATAGTTGAAGATGGTTAGAACATTTAGGGACAACATCCAAGAATCAGGGAATTCCCCACAATTCTTTGTCATATAGGACAATGTGAACTGGTGTAGACTAAACAGCCAGGAGATTCCAATTTACCTGGCAGATCTCCACTACAAACTAAGCATCTTTGATATGCAAACCACTGGTTAGTTGGTCTGAGAATTCTTCAGATATCTCCAAACCCTCAAGATAATTTTTTTTTTCCATTTTAAATATATTAAGACTGTGTATGGTTTCTTTGGGAACTTTATTGCAAGCTCCCACAGGTATTTCATGACAGGCTACTGAGAGCAAGCATAGTCCCTGCTCCTCTGATAAAAAGTAAATATCTAAATTCCCCCCCATTTTGCAATTCATCTTTCTGAATAAATACACAGGTACATGAACGTGAATCGCACCTTTCCTCAAAGCTCGCCCTGCTCCTCCCAGCGGCAGGAGAGTGGTTGTCAGCCTGTTGCTTCGTCACCAAATGGTGGGCAATTACCTGTCAGCTTTTTAAATTTTCCCCCCCATTTCAGTAAATGACATCAAGGGAACTCGATGTGTATTCAGGCACTGGGAGTGACCGGGTGTCAGCCCGCGAGTCAGAGCTGAGCTTAAAAAAATGTTGTGTTACCTTCAGCCCAAGTATCTGCTTTCCCAGCTATTAGGTAGGCTGGAGTCCCACTTATCCTGGGATTTTGAGGGTGGCTGGAGCTCCTTTACTCCGAGCTTTGCGCTCTTAGCAAGCATTACGCACGAGGAGTTTAATATTGTTTTTCCTCAAATACTGACTTGGATACAAATATTTATGTAATTAAAGAACACAGTAAAGTGCAGCCCCTTGTAATCGCTGCCGAGCGGCGGGGCTTGCGCCCGGGCTGGAGTAACGCGCAAGGAAAGCGGTGGAAGCGCGGAGCGCCGGCAAAGGCTGTGCGGCTGGATTTAAACTGCAAAACAAACTGCATTTGGTACTCGCAGCCCTGTTTCAGTGTATAAATATTAACAGTGTTCGCTTGTAGACGGCTCTGCTTGATTTAATACTGCTACCGCTGCTCTTTCTGTTTAAAGGCACTGTTTAAAGATAAGATTTTCTTACAAATTTTATGGTTTAAGCGCACATTTGCCTAAAGGTTCCAATTACCGCTGGGCAGCCGAGGGCCGGTCACAGTCCTGGCCAAACCATCGAGGGGAAACCTCCACGCCGCATTAGCAAATACTCCAGAACTTTTGGGAAATAACCTGAAACGGGTCAGTCCCGAAGGGTCAGTCCCCAGGGGCGCCCCCGCTCCCCGCCGCGGCCCCTCAGGCCGCTCCAGGCTCCGCGCTGCCGCCCCCCCCCCACCCCGGGCAGCACGTGGTTGGCGCCGCGCCCCCTCCACCCCCCGCGGCGGCCCCTCCGCCGGGCGAAACCACCTGGCACGGGAGGGGGGGAGCCCCTTCTCTACCGGGCCCCGCCCCATTAAAGGGGCGATGGGCTCCCGGCGCGGCGGGAAGCAGAGAGTTCCTTCTCCCGTCCGGCTGCCGCCCTCCCTTCCCGCCGCCCTCCGCCACCATCTCCGCGCCGCCACCGAGCAGGAGAGCGCGGCCGGAGGAGCCGCCAGGTGAGTGAGGGCGGGAGGGAGGAAATGGCCGGCGCGTCGCTGCCCGTTTAAGGGCCTCCCACGTCGCTCCGCCATGTCCGGCGGCCCGGCCCCTCCCGGGGCTCCCTCACCGCCCCCCACCCGCCCCCGGGGCCTGGAGGCGCCGCCGCGGGGACGCTCCCGCCGCCCCGCAGGTGAGCCCGGCAGGTGGGGCCGGAGCGGGGCCGCGGGGCCGCGGCGTTATGTAAGGGCGGGGGTCGGAGCGGGCGGGGAAGGCGCCCGGCGGGGCCGGGTCTCGTCTGGGGTCGCCCCTCAGGCTCGGGGCTGAGCCCCGCGCAGCTCCGGGTGTGTGCCGGGAAGCGCCGTGCCCGAGGGGCGCTCGCCGGTCCTGCCCGGCCATTCGTGCACGGAAAGCTGGGAGCGCGGCTCTGAGGCGGGAAGGGTCGCTTATGGCTTGTTTTCGACGGGAGAGGTGGAGCGTGTGCGCCGGGAGAGCAGCCGGTGGTATGCGGTGCTCAGTTGCCTCCCAGCTGTGGAGGATCCGCCTCGGAGCAGCGCGCCGTGGCGTTTGTGGTATTGAAAGATTGCAGAGAACAGTAGGTGATCTGCGCGATCGCTGTTTTTTTTTCCTCAAGCGTAGTTTGTGTATTCCCAAAAAGTCACCCAGCCGTCTTCAAAGTTCTTAGGTGGGTTTTTTTCAAAGACTTTCACAGCCAAGGACTGTGGGTGTTTAAATAAAAGGGAAAAATCTGTTTGTTACTTGACGTTTCTTTGTCAAAGTCTGGGATTTTCTAAGAACTTTATTGCGGATTTTTTTTCTTTTTTTCCTGATCGGGTTTGAGATTGGTTTGTTTGTTTGTTTTGATTTTGGCGGTTTTTTCCTGTAAACACTTAACCCTGTTCATTTTCTCTGCTGGATTTTGTAGCAAAGATGCTGAGCTTTTTCCGCCGCACGCTGGGACGCCGGTCCATGCGTAAGCATGCGGAGAAGGAGAGGCTGAGAGAGGCCCAGAGGGCTGCGACCCACATCCCTGCGGCTGGGGACGCCAGGTCCATCATCACCTGCCGAGTGGCGCTGCTGGACGGCACAGATGTCAGCGTGGACTTACCGGTACGAGCGATCCAAGTGTGCTTTTGAAATACGCTTGGTTTGTGTTATGCTGATGTGGATTGCTGTTTGCGAGTTAGGTAAAGGCATTGCTCTTTGCCCTGTGCCTTGATGTCCACTAACGTTCTGCTCGAAAAAAGGTTCTGAAAGAATGGTTAACTTTGGCATTCACTGAAATTTGAGTGTTTTGCTAGATGTTATGCCTTACACACTGAGCACTTTCTAATGTTTTAATGCAATTGTTGTGCCAAGGCATAACTTAGAGACGGTAGCGTGTTTGGTGAATTGGGTTTTCTTTTTGGTAAGCTGTCTTGACAAAGAAGGTGAATCTCTTGATGTAAATTGTTGAAGAGGAGGGATGAGCAGAAGTACTAGGAATTTCTGTGTGGGTTGGGTTTGGTCAGGTTTTGTGTCAGAGATGGACGCAGTTTTTAACACTAACTTGAGAGGGGAGGGGAAGAGGAAAAATCTGCTTCCTTCCCCTCCTCAGGGCTGAATATATAGTAGGGATTGTCTCATGGCATGGTGCTTTATTCTGAGTGAGGTGTTAGCCACTGTTTTACATTTCTAAAGCTTCCTTAATATGCACGTGCCTGTTCTGCTTGCCTAATTATATACCTGGCTTTAGCCAACAGGATGAGCAGTAGCACCAGGAGTGATGTGCTCTGTTTTTCCATTACCATGTGTTGTAGTTGTTAGTGACTTGTTTTAAGCTCACAGAGCTGAGCAATAGGAAGTTAGGAAGGTGTGGATTTGCGAGACCTGAGGATTTTGGCTGCAGTCACAGTTGTGGTGGTGTTGGAACTGCTGACTAGAAAGAAAAGCCATTTCAAGACTGGCTGCTCCACACAGCTCTTTCTTCCCTTTCTTTTTTAATCGTGGAGTGTTTAGCTAGTGCCAGGAAGTCAGCTTGATTGGGCAGTGTTGTTGACATAGCAGAAATAACTCTTCTGGTATCCTGAACCCCAAATAATCTAGAGTTAGAGAAACCGTTTGGCATCTTTATTTGCAAAATGACTGTATAGATAGGCGTTTATAGAGGGTGGTAAAGTCAATTTGTAAATCTCTGAAGCAATGTAATGAATATATCCAGTGCTGCTAAGTGCCTAGGATGTTTGATTTGAGGCCAGGAATGCCCACAAACACTTAATAGCAAGAGTTACCACTTAAAAAGTACTCAAGTTTAAATTGGTGTCTCTGCATAACCAGAGCAATAATATTTGGAGCTGGAGTCGGCTCTGTAGGCAAATTCCTGGTGGCTCCAACAACATTTCCAAGGCTTTGAGGAGCATAAATTGAACCTGAAGAGGTGTCACGACCTGGCACCTGGCCTATAAATCTCAGACCAGGGTGCAGTAGTAACTATTTACTTCTACAAGAAACTCTTTTTCACTCCAGATTTTTTTCTTTGAAAGCCAACATAGATCCTTGACTGTGAACATCGAAGTTATGAGTAACAGTAACCAAATTGACATAGCCAGATGTGGTAATTACAGTGCATCATCAGTGGCTGACATGTACCAGTTTCTTCAGTGATTAAAGTGCAATAAATTAAAAGTAAATTAAATGTTTCATTTCAAACTTCCTAGAGTGTTTATTCTTGTTTCTCCACTTGCATCATTCATATTTTGAGGTTGACTCTTACAAAGGAAAGAAAAACGGGTAGGGAAGACAGGAGATGAAGAGGAGGAGTACAAAATCCTGCAAAACAACATCACTTTCTAAAATGTAAAGCTTAAATTAAAAATACATGTGTATATTTTTGTTTTCTTTTACAAAACCTTTCTTTGAGACTCCTTGGGCTCTTTGAACTAGGATCTTTTCCAAGACTGCTACTGTTACTTTGTTGGCAGTAAAATGAACTCTTTCTCTCAAAGAGGTGCCCCCTGGTCTGCCAGTTCATTTGTGCACAGTTGCACTGTCTACCTAAGCACTGTGAAATTGTTTTATTAAAAAAATAAATAACAAAGCTTTTCTTAAGAATTAATCATTTAGCAAACAGGTTAGTTCACAGTCAGAGAAAGGGTTGTCTGGGCAGGAATGAATGCCATACCTTTTTAAATCCATGGCTACACAAATACAGTGGCATAAGCTGTTGCTGCCCCAGGAAGAAAAGATGTTGCTTTCGTTATTGCGTTTGTCCTTGTTTTCTCATACCCCTTGGCAGAAGAAACAGTTTTTTAGCAGCCAGGCAGCAAGCTAAGTCAAGAAAATGCTGTGGCTGAAAATAATCAGTATAATTTCGTTATGTGGTTTCCAGCTGGAGCGATTTTCCAATCTGGTTCCCCATGTGCCTCCCCAAATGTGGTGAAGAAGCATTTAGAGGTGATACTAGGCTTAAGTTTGCTCAAAATGCTGTTGAGCTGTATCCTTACAGTGGATTTTTTACTGAGAAGAGTATTCTGCATTTACTATCATTGATATAATTGAACCTGAGATTTCTCCTTAATTTTAAAATGAAAAGGAATGGCAGAAACAACAGCAAGAAGCAACCACAAGGGACGTTGTCATGTAAGCCAAACACATTTGAGAGTTATTAAGTAGCAAAGACTGATATTTATGAATATTTACAATGAGAAGGAAGGGACAGGTTGTAAATGATGCAGTTGGGATTTAACTTTGTAGACACAGAGCCAGGATTTGAGTAATAACTCTGCTTTTTGTCCACTGATCTTATCTTTGGTGTCTGTCAAGCCACTTAATCTTTCTGCTTTTCTATGTCTTCTGTTGTTTTTAATTAGAAAAATGCCTGACTTGAACTTTTCACCAAAACTGCAGTCATACACAGTACATAGACTGGATTCTTTGCAAGAATCTCCTGCTTTTGTAGCTATGTCAATGACTGAAGAATGTCAGTGTCATGTATATATTTACTGACACCTTGGTATGTTCAAAATGGGAGGCATGAACTTAATGCAAGTTATCAGTGGTTTTTTGGGGCAGACTGAATGATGTTAGGTTTTTTTCCCACGGCTTCATATCAGATTCAAAGTTGCTTTTTGACCTGGTAGTTTTCCTCTTACCTCTCTTTTGAAGCTTTATGTTTCTCCAAATGCATTCAGCCATTTTTACGGATTTATGTGCCTGGTGAAACACTAAGAAGCTTGTTTGTTAATCTTGGAAAAGTTTTTATAAAATAGATGTTGTCTGTAAATGCTGTTGTGGATGTTGTTCATTATACATTCTGCTTTTCTGTTAACTTGAGTTCAACTTGGACAAACGTCAGGTTGTGCTTTTTCTTCCAGTTGTTTCAGATCCGTGGGTGGAATGTTTGCTGAGTAGTATGAGTGGTGAAAGGACAAGAACTCTGTTTTGCTGACATCCCTTATCTTACTTTTCATCCTGTTCCCATGCAAAACTAAACTACATCTTCCCCCACTGCACCTCTGGAATTCCCAAGGCTCAAAAGCCATTAACAGCCCTGGTTTATTACCTGGAGTCCATCAGCTCAGTCATACCAGTCTGGTCTGTCAAGGGAACCCCTCAACAGCTGGAATAGAAGCTCTCTTGGTGCTCGTGGTTTGTGAGGAAAGACAAGTTAGTGAGGGGGAACTTGGAAGTACCAAAAGTTTTCATTGGGGTCACCAAAAACGTATGAAATAATTAGGAACAAAAATCTTTGTCAAGAGTTTAAAATAAAGTGCTGTTTTAAGTAATAGAGAGCTCCAGAGGATTTTAAAATCAAAATACTTTACAGTTGAGTACTAAACAGTCAATTCTATGCTATCCATAGTAGTAATTGGGAGAGGGAAAAGATAATGTAGATGGGGAAGAACTGATAATATAAATAATGTAAGTACATGCATTTGGAATATAAAATTTTTGGATTGCTATTTATGGGTGAGCAAGGTCAGTCTTACAGGAGAGACAGATAGTAAGTGTAGGGTCTTATGGAAGCAGAATGTACTTCGTGGAAGCCAGCAGTGTTTCAGTAAAAAAACCTGACCCTGCCTAACCCACACTTTACATAATCTTCTCATGGATAATGGAGCGTTAATTGTATTCCAGTTTCCGTGTGTGCTGAGTTTTAGGTAAATGCTTCCTGGTGGTATAAGATGAAAGACAGAAATTATGAGAAGGGATGCTCTCTCTGAGTAGTTTTTTATCTTGGAATATTTCTTACTTACACATGCATGAAATTTGATATGGAGGTTGCAAAATGAGATGGTTTTGTCCTTATTATAATGAAGTATCATTAAAACAAGGTCTTGTATAAACCAATCCAAGGACTGTATAATAGTGGGATTGAACTAAGCTCTTTAGACTTTTGGAGTATAAAACAAGATAAAAAAAAGGACTGTATCTGTAGTGACTATTTTAAATAAAAAATAAGAAATCTATCTGGAATGCAAAAATCATTAAGGAGTGCTAGTGGCTTTTTTTGGAGAGAAATTATTTGTGTTGATCTGACTGCAAGATCAGAGATGCATTGTGATAGTTGATTTTACTCAATAATCCACTCTGGTTTATTAAAAACTTGTAGAATATTAATGGCCACTTGCTAAATATTTGTGGATGAAATACATAATGCTGTTCCTTGTGTAGATGTTGATTAACAAAAAAACATAATACTGCTAAAAATGCTGGAAAATCAGCCATCAAATAAAATGAGTACTGTGAGTACTCACTGTGAGTAATGTGAGTTCAAGGCTGACCTCTGAAGTTTCAAAATAGAGCTCAGCTGACAGAAGTAGTAATTACAATAAACATTTGAACGTGTCCCTTTTTGTGTGTGCTAAGGCTATAAAGTTTTGGATTAAAACTTTATTTCCCATGTGATCTTCTGTCTGAAAGTATTGACGTGCTTTTGAGTGTTTGCTTAAACTTCTGAAGGACCTTTAGGGGCCTGGAACTGGACAAAATCAGTCGCGAGCTGTGCGTTCCGCAGCAGAGGTGCTGCTGTGTGTGCAGTGTGAGGAGGCCCGGCCGTGGTGCGGGGTGAGCCGGTGCTTCCTGGGCTGCCAGATGAAATCCGTGGTGAGACGGAACCTAAGCCAGGGCAT